CTGAATGTAGTTCTAAACCCGACCAAAGGCCCCGTTCGACCCAGGGGGGGGGGGGGGGGGTCGGCTTCGCATCCGCGACCCCCCCCCCCCCCCTTTAAATAATCTCGGATCCGCCCCTGTACATGTACATGTATGTATGTCATAAGGTCCCTAAATATAGGATATAGTATATCGAATTGTAAACATCTAGCACACATTGTATTGTTTTCAATATTAAGGTTGCAATTAAAACTTATAGATCTATCACGATATTTAACTTTACCAAGATCAGTAAAATGTCTTAACGATCGAGAAGAGGTGTTAGATTTACGCCCAAAACAATCTAAATTGCAGTTGTTGAGCTATGAATATGAAAGCACAGCCGCAGTGACCATGCAGTGGGTTAGTGCCAATGGACACATTCAGGGGGTATTGTTACCCTCTACCAGGGTGGCAGATTTGATAGAGAAACTTTGAAAAAGTCAGAGAATGAATAACTGTCTATTTATCTAAAGACATATCTGTGAATATCTTGTGAAAAATCCATCTGTCGCCCTGGTAGAGGGTAAGGTATTGTCAGGACTAAATAACTTGGACAATAAAGCGCTATGTAAAATAGAAAACAGTGCTGAAGTCTTAAAAGATTTAGAATTTGCAGGAGATCAAGTGATAAAAAAATCATTGAACATTTGATGCCTTGCCATACAGTACCCACAATTTAACGGGGTTAAAATCTAGTGTTCATTTAAATTTATTTACAATTATACTTTGTCAACTCTACCAATTTTTGTGATAAAATCTTGTTCAGGGATGAAGTTACGCCCACAACGGATTGCTATCTCACCTAGCTCAAAATGCTGAGTACAGTGGCGGATTTAGGGCGGGGTGAGGGGATTCCTGACCCCCCCCCCTCCAATTTCTGAAAAAAATCACACCAATGGTCCCCTCTTGAAATTAAAATTTTGATTAGCTGAATCATAGTTCTAACTAAACCGTACCAAATCGCTCCGCTCGCCCTCTTAAATACCAGCCGGGGGGAGGGGGGGGGGGCGGTTTCGCATCTGCAAATAAACCTGGATCCGCCCCTGAAATACATGTAGAAAGGTGTTAAATTGACGATTAAAGCTTTGAGTTCCCTATGCTTATACATTGCAACGGGATATATAAACGCCGGTATTTTATATTTTCCGTGTTTTTTTTTTTTTTTTTTTTTTTCATTTTTTAAATCAGCACAAAGATAGATGTATTATTGAACAATAAGATATAGGAAAAACTCATTTTAGGTATCTGGATGCTAATAAAAGGTTTACAATACCATTAAGACTATTTCCAGTTATATATTTTTCTTGTCTCACGGTCACACTGTACATGTATATCACGTAGTTCACTGTTCACATTCAACAAACCAGATGAATGGATTCTGAAACCGCTTTCTTGATTGGTCGACCTTCATCAAGTACACAAAGCAAGTGTGCGTGCGCCACTACAACTGAACAAGAAACGTGGAAGGTGAGATCGAGGGAGGCAGGAGAGGTACGTCCATCGCGAGCGGCAAGATGACTGGCAAACGATATGATGTGAATGGAGATCATGATGAAGACTCTGTTGGTGTTACGGACGGTAAGTTTCGAACCAAAATATCGAGTTCTACAGTGCCCATATTATCATAATGGCACTGTACTGCGTACGCGCAGAAAGAGAACATCGCGTGGTACTGGTACGTGCGCCACAAACATCATCGATATATCATAATGTCCGCTATTTCATAATTCATTGAAATACGTTGCTACACATGAATCTTCCTGTAAAACCCTATGCAGATATGATTAATGCATTTCTTGTTAGAAATAATGAGATGATAAGACATTAATTACTACCATATTGGCTTGTTGCCAACGACGCTTATTTCACTCATGTCAGATGCAGATGGTATACGTGTAGGGGGGTGGGGGGTGGGGGTGCTCCCCATTAACATCTTTAAATGGTTTTCATAGTATGTATGTGACATGATGAATATGACGCCTACAAAATTAATGCCCCCCCCCCCCCATGCCATATTGATTATATTTTGACCTTGAAAAATAGTAAGTCATGATGATTCTGCATAATGTTTTAAGAGTTGGTACCTGAGGATAAATCACTTCTGATAGCCAAAATAACTGAGTTATATTAACATATATGTATGAAACGAAACAAAATTTCTGCAGCTGGTATTAGAGTTTGTTGTTTAATAGTAGCTATTAATTAGTACCCCTTATCATTGGAGATATCCCTTTCTACCTTTTCTACCTCACATAAAAACAGTATATAAAATTATGTGAGACAAAACCACTTGTTCAATTCATTCCATGTGTTCAACATATGACAATAAAAGTGCCGTCATCTGCTAGACTTCTATTATATATATATATATGCACAAGTAGGCAAATATATTTNTCTACCTCACATAAAAACAGTATATAAAATTATGTGAGACAAAACCACTTGTTCAATTCATTCCATGTGTTCAACATATGACAATAAAAGTGCCGTCATCTGCTAGACTTCTATTATATATATATATATGCACAAGTAGGCAAATATATTTTACTCCTCCCAACCCCCCCCCCCACCCCCCACACACACACACCCAGCAGCAATATTGGAATCCCCCCCCCCCCAGTGCCAAACTGTCTGCATTGGCTGCTGTGATGTATGCGACCAGCCAGTTCAATCTTGTAGGTCTGATCTTGGCCTACTCCTGTGGCGTGTGTTGTTACACCTATATACATGAGATGAAGACGTACTGTTTGTTATGAATGAAGAAAATGCATTACATAGCATATTTTGATAAAAAATTTAATTAAAATCCAGTGATGCTCTTGTGCATTTGAAATCGCCTTTGGCACATTTTAAAAGTCAAAAATAATGTCCCAGAGACAATACTTTAGTGTATGTATTGCCTTTCATTTGCACATAATACCTGTGGATGTCTATTGAGTTATTTTGAAATATCTTATATTGGGCGCATCTTTCAGTTATAAAAATGATTAATTTTGACAATTCCTTTCTTCTTGTCCAATGCTTAATTTCCACCAATTTTCTTTTGACGGTAAAATTATAGTCCTATGTTTAGAATGTGATGACCAAGAGAAAAGTGTTACTTACAAGTAGTACTAGTACTCCTTAATATAGGTTTTGGAAGTCTTTGGGTACGTAGTCTGAATAAAAGGTACTGTGTATGATGTAAGTACCCCAGCAGTAACAGGTGAAACATTATTTTAGGCACAACTTTGAAAAGTGGAATTTATATCCTTTTGTCCATGGGGAGCCTTATATGAATATAAATATGTACCTCTTCTATCATGAAATATGTTACAAAATACATCAAGACATGGTCATAGGTAATAGACGCACCTCAGGAATCCACCTTTGTCTGCACTTGCCCGCTGTATAATCCTTACAGGGCGCTTGGGTGCCATCATTCAACTGTGGTTTTTCACACGTGTAAATTTCATGTCCATTGAATGACCTTGGATCTTCCTATTAATGAAATGAGAAAGGTCACTTAAAGTATAACCACATGTTGAGACAAATTTTTCACGTGACTCTCCTTGCCATGTTGCTTGGCTATTGTAGTCATCACTGAACATCTAGGTTTGCACATCTAGGTTTGTTTTTCTCTCACATTCAGCAGCCATGCCTGATAAACCGAAGGACTATGATGGGCCCATTAACCCAAAAGATGGTAAAGTATTCATTGTAGTGATTTAATTTGTGTATTTTTCACATTCATTCTTTTTCAGCTTTGTGTCATAGGACAATTTCTTAGGTTCAGCCTGGGTTACGTATTCGTGTCCAATAGTTATTTCACTTATTTTCTTTTACAATCTTATGTAAGGTATTTTCTCATATTTTCTTAAACATGAATGCACTTATTTGACATCCTCTCAGCGGCAGGTATTGTCAAACTGTCTCGACTTTGTATTAGATTTTATTTGATGTTTTTCATTTGTTATTCATGTTACCACACCTTTGCTGTTCTGTTGTAGCAGGTCCTGTATCTTTGAGTCGCAATCAAATATAATTTACCCAAGCATTTGATTTAGCTAACCTTTACAATATTTAATAATGTTGTCTTCTTTTTAATGTGTCTACATTTTATTGGTTTATTGTATGTCTTTTAGGTGTAACACATGGAATTAAGTGTTTTTTGTCTTGAAGATTTATATAAAGCAATAATCATACATCAGATGTTTTGTATTTTTTTTTTTTCTATTTCTCTCTGGTAACAGTGAACAAGTACAACCCACTTGGTGGTTTTCAGATTTCTTTCAAATAGCCAAATTTGAAATTAGTGCCTCAAGATAGTATGATATACTCTGCATTGTCATATGTTTGTAATATTTTTATTTACATCTTTATTTTTAGTGCCTTTCTGGTGCTCTTGTCGCCTTGGTCTTGCCGCCATTGGTTGCATGGGTTTCTTCATTTTGTACGCCCTCCGTATCAATATAAGCGTGGCTCTTGTCTGTATGGTCAATCACACAGCTACAGAGATACTAAACAAGCAATCCTCAGTCAATGGGAACCTTTCAGACAGCGTATGGTACAACACAAGTTATGGAGAGAATAATACAAGTTTTATAGTCAAGGGAATGATAAATGAGACTACTACCCAGCCAGACCCAACTGGAGTTGTGTGCCCTGGAGCTGGTGATGGGGAATCAGATGGTGTGGTATGTATATATACATGCAGATGACTTCATTAAATGAAAATTTTCATGCCTTGCTCAGTCTTTTAGACTTGATTGTTGGACAGTCTTAATTGTTCAAGCCAAATCATTTTTCAGTGAACTATATATGATAATTAGTTTCCAAATATGAATTGTTATTTTTCATTTTGTCATGGGCTGAAGATTAAACCATGTAGCATGTGTTGGTATCTATTTTTTGTGGTTTTAAGTTTTCATGTTGAACAGCCTATTAAATCCCCAACTCTTTGTAGCTCATGTTTCTGTGTCTGTTAATCTATATAATGAAGATTTTAGCTCATCTAAGTAAATTAACCCAGCCCTTTAAAAGATTGGCCCTCAGATAAAATAGCCCAAAGTTTTCAATGAATATGTTTAAAAAAGCAATAAGGGTCAATGTCTCACTACTAATTCACTCACATTCTTCAGTGTAGGTATAAAGGTCTGTAGCAGTGCTAGTTCCACACATGAACACAGTACATTCCATGCACAGTTGTCATCTAATGGCACATTTGTGGAAAACAGTCTGTTACAAGTCCATGCTAAATGACCACGCCTTCTTAACAGTATGAGATTAACTGAATAACTATTAATCTAGCAGCACAGTAAAACATAAAACATTGTGGAATTTTTTTAGTATAACATGTATATAATANGGGGGGGTCGGGTGCCTAGAGAACTGTATAAAAAGGCTCATGTAAAAAAAAAAGTATTACAGTATTTTATGTCAAACTTTATTGCATCTATCTCGCTTACACTTACACTATCACTCTATATGTTTAAGATATCACTAGAGACGTAAGGTGCTTTCTAATACAAATTTGATGCCAGCTTTAACACTGACTGAAATATTTAATCTTGAAGATCTGCAGAAAATAATACTGGTAGAACTTGCATTTTGCTGGAGTAGGAGAACGACTTAAGTATGTCATCAGATCTCAGCATCACATTTGTTATGAATTTTGTAAGGAATGAACAAGTGAACTTTACATTTCTCATTATGGAGCATCTAGCAAATATAATCTCTGCTTATATACCAGTAAACAGTTTGTCTTTCACATTAAAATCCAATGACGAACATGACACAGTGTTGAATAATACTAGTTATGTGGTAGGGCCTATTTCATTTTTTCCTTATTGTGTAAAATGCCTCTTTTTAAGACCTGGTTTTAGATTAATTTACTACTACAAAGACAAAATCTCACAGCTCAGTGAATGATGAGGTACATCACAAAGTCTGTCATAGTGAACAGAAGAAACGGTAAGCAGATAAAACAAATAATCATATTTATCATATAGGAAAAAAATGAACTATTTAATAAAAAATTCAAGATATAAATAATATACGCTCAAAATATCAAGCTGTCCGGAGTCCATGTCTTCTGTTCTCTGGTGAGAATTAACTCATTGTGTTAGGTGAGAAATAGGTCTCAATGCAATGGGAAATAAGACTTGCTTTCCGCATGCTGTGACAACACAGTTCTTTTTCTCCTGGTGATGATAACTGGATCAACTAGCTAGGACATAACGACTGCCTGAAATATATGAAAATACAGTGCATAAGCATGAAAAGCCCATTTTTCTGAATTCAAACACTTCACTCGGTTGAACTTCCTGAGACTGGAAATGTTCTGACTATCTCTGAATTTTCAAGTGGACAGAGGACAATTCACTTTTCTTGGTGTCCTGAACTATTCGCCGACTCTTCACTACATTACATAATGTGTGACCTGTCATCTGTGGATAATGGATATAATGGATCTAATGGATCTAATGTTCAGATTATGGATCAAGAACTACAGGGTATAACCCCCCTTCATCTAATGTTTATATTCTAAATATCTTATCTAACTGACAAGATAAAACAGGTCACTATGACAAAATAAAATGAATGTACAAGTAAATACCGCTAGACAGTTTAAAGTACACATAGTTAATATTCCTTTTCTGAAATTCAGAGTTACAAAATTAGGCCAAATTTGAACATAAGCAAATATATATATATATATATATATATATATATATATATATATATATATATATATATATATACCAGTACTGAGGGAGTAATGACGTTGAGTGTAGGTATTGACACTCACATGATAAAATACGTTGTTCCTGCATCGTTTGACATACTAACCCAGGGGCCGAACTAGGATTAATTGATGGGTGGGGGCGAAAAAATTTGCTTAAAAGAGGGTGAACGGTGCTATTTGGAAAGATTTAGAACTATGATTCAGCTAGTCAAAATTCTAATTTCCAGGGGGGACCAGAAATCAAAGGGGGGGGGGGGAGGGTCATGGTCCCTCTATAACCCCCCTTCTAAATCCGCCACTGAAGGAAGCATGTATTGAATATAGTAGCTTTGCACTGTAGAAGGAGGTGAAATTCATCTTTCACTTTCACTTTAAGTGGCAGTTAACAAAATCTAAAAAACCTGCCACCCTGTTAGAGAAAGTACAAGCCTACTCACAAATCCCACACCCCAGCACACTGTTTACAATGGTCGTATTGAATGAATCACTGGAAGCTAGAAGGTCAAACCAAATGTCCTTTCCCGGGGGCTCCTCGTACACAAAATAAGACAAACAGAACCGTTGCACCGCTCACAGTAAGCAGTCCCCTCCGCCAGAGGTCTCACACTGCACGCCGTGCCTGGTACTCAAAATAGAAATAGGCAGTAGTTTACACCTTAGCCTGCTAGTTGACACCAAAATTAACCTAAGCTACATACAAGAAATGCCAAGAAAAAATTTAAAAGGGACTAATTCTCTCTCACTGCACTACATTCGCGCATGTAGTGTTGATCAGTATTATCCATGCATAGATTCTGCAAGATAATTTTTTCGCAGTGTGGCGCATGCGCAGTCGTTAGACTACTGCACTGGCTAGGGAAATAGAGGAGGATTTGAAATTGTAAAATCACAAATTATTAAAAAAATAAACTGATACCTTATTATTTAAATAAAACGGATAACTGAAACTGCACATCAAGTTGGCATGAACCTGTACATTCAAGTTTAACTATAGATTTAAAGAATATATAGTTTTTAAAATGAACCCAGTTTCTCTATTAGTTGAAGAGTCCATTTCATTATATGTATATATACCTGCACGGCCACGACAACAGCAGAGGTTGATCATCTTTGAAGCTTGTCGAAATATTTTTTATGCATTCCTGTTATTTTTGATTATTGATTATTGATTGAAACTAACCACTTCTAAATTAAAGGATTTGCTTCATGCCGTCAGAATGGCCTGAACGGAACATATTCTTCAGATAACATGCCCAACTAACGATATCTTTATCCAAATACACAAATTAAAAGCTCATTTTGTAAATTTTTGGCTTTAAAAAACGTCTTATTTGCTCGGCCTGAGAGTTAATGAGCTACGTTGTCACATGGTCTGATGACGACAATCGCGCCACTGGAGAATAGAGCGTGCTTAGCTGTTAAACTGAGCTGCATTGTCTACCTGTAAGATGACTTCTCTCGCTTCTGATAAAAGTTTATACTCATTCAAATCTCTTACCCGAGGGGTCTTAATCCTCGTGAAGCTGTGTAAAACCATTTCCCGTCTAGTCAATTCTTTAACAAGCATTTAATCATGGTTATCCCAAGTTGTATAAAACACTGCATTTGAATGAGTTAAGGGAAATGTTGATTATTGCATATGAGGTCCATGTTATTTGTGAAATTCAATTTAGTTTATTAAACCGCTGACACTTCTTCTTGCATACTTTTATTAAACTGAGGTAAACAATGCCCGTTACCTTTACAAGTCCTATCTTAATCATCCATCTAGCTGGAACTTCCTCTACCTCTTAATTAGAGGGTTAAATGGCATTCGAACGCACTCTCTATCTAAGCTTTACTCCAGTTATCTCAGGTAAAAATCTACCTGTGCGTTAGTTACAAAGGGCAGCTCCCGTAGACCTGGGGGTACTAGATAAAATCTGAACACCAGGTTTATCGAGGAGCTAGAGAAAGAAAGGAAGAAATTTTCCTGAANCTTGTATCGAACGCACTCTCTATCTAAGCTTTACTCCAGTTATCTCAGGTAAAAATCTACCTGTGCGTTAGTTACAAAGCGCAGCTCCCGTAGACCTGGGGGTACTAGATAAAATCTGAACACCAGGTTTATCGAGGAGCTAGAAAAAGAAAGGAAGAATTTTTCCTGCACAACTTCATAGGAATTTTAACACGGACTTAATTCGGATCCTCATAAGGTGATTTTTCTCACCAATATATTTCCAAGGGTTTCCGCCTTCATTACACCACCACTCCTAGCATCCATGCACCTCATAATCATTTATCAGTCATCCTCTTCGACTTAATAGTGAAGCAAGAGCGGACCTAAGCATGTGGCTTCATTTTTTACATCACTTTAATGGAAAATCAGCTGCCTTCACCATGACACTCGTCAGATACCTTACACTTGTTTACAGATGCCTCGGGGTTAATAGGTTATGCGGCGGTCTTGGGCTGTCACTGGTTCTTTAATGAATGGGATGCAGTAGCTGCACTTTGGCATATCACAGTCAAAGAGCCGTTTCCTCTAGTTCTTGCTTTGGAATTTTGGAAATCACAGCTGATTGAGTACGACAGGTTCATCTCGCCCTCTCCTTTGCCAGGTTCAAGCCTTGTTAGATTATTACCGACGAACGTTTACGCATACGTTAGGTCCTTTATTTCAGCTTATTGATGGAACACCGGTCACACTTATTCTTATGTTTCTTCAGAATTATCCAAAGCCCTTGCTTTTGCAGGATAGATATATAGATGGTCTTGTTTTTATAATTATGTGTGTTTCATGTTTTCTGATTTAAAAAAATTGACAGGGTGGGATCACCATTTTAATGCCTTATTTGGCTCCCTTAATTTTATTCATGGTTGCCAGTTTCTCTTCCTATACCTCATTCAGCTGTAGCTAGTTCCTCATGGGATATGGATTGGTAGTTGCACATTTTTTTAGTAGCACATAGGATTCAGATATAATGTCAGCTGTTGTTTATCATTCCAATCTTTTCACAAGCACTCCTCGGTTGGCGGGGATGTGAGCTTCTCTCACGTCATATGGCCTTTTATTTTCATTTGCGCCAACTTTTTGCTCCTATAGCTGTTGTGATTTCTCATATTTTTCTTGATTAATCCTGGTTACACTCATGAACATACTTTATTATTTTTATATTATGTCACTCATATAGTTTGGGGGATGTTTGATTATCTCCCCAGTTTTGTAACTTTGAATCTTATCAGTTTTCGTCATTAATAAATGACAATTTTCATTCATATAGACTTATCTTACTTAATTTGGAGCAAAAACAGAGCTTCGTTGTGCTTGTGAACATTTGGCTACATAAACTGGGATTCCGAAAGGCTTCGCAACTTTGCGACATTGAGTGTTTGGACTTAACCGGTCGCAATTCTGCTAATTTCGTTCGGTTGGTGGGAAAACTTCGTCAACACTGATGCAAAGAATTACATTTCAATACCTATCAAGAACTTTAAAACAGAAATGAGAAGACACTGCAGGTCGCTGATTTATTCCTACGTTATGTTTCTTAAGATGATTGCTACGTTGTGTTTTACACTAGGTATATTGTACTGGAACGGATTTTCCGTAGAAGACGTTCAGAGATTTCTAAACTCAGACCAGTCCCTTGATGAAATAGAGAGACTTACCTTAATTAGTGTCGGTTGTATTCTAGGGCTTGCTGCCTTGTTCTCTTATCTATCCATATTCTTAACATGCACCATGGGCATTCCTAAGTTCGGCTATGTCTGTGTTGTGATATCCATGATTGTGTCCGCTATAGGTGTTTTCATACCGATGTGTAGTGAACAGACATCGGCTTTTGAAGAAGAGAAATACACTCCTGATCAGACACTAAGAGGAGTCCTGTGCAGATGGCTGGTAGAAAGCCTTTCGCTCAGCTGTGATCGCCACAATCCTGAGCATGTTTGGGCTCAGATTGGACTGTATATACAGGGTATGCCTTTGTCTCTCTCATCTTCTTCTATATAGGCATGTGTGGAGTTCCCTTGGAAAAACTGCCATACCCTCCCTGAAATGGATATTTATCCAGCCTCTGTACTGTGGTATTCTCCTAGAGCAGTCGTTCATGTTTCGTAGACGACTGCCAAAAGATGTTGATGTTGATGGGGGCAACGTTGATTCCGTCGAAGATGTTGCCCACATCCCTTCCCGCGAGGACTCAGAGAAAAAGAAACCAATGTTATACGCTTGTGGTACCATGTGGCATGAATCCGAGATTGAAATGGGACAAATACTTGCCAGCATTATAAGGTAGACCGTCCTGTTATCTTTTTATTCATATATTTTGTTCCTACAATTAGTGGTAGATACAATATGAGTCGCCCAGCTGTACGTGACATATTACGAGTATATTGTCGAGCCGCAGGCGAGACAATACATGAGTAATTTTCGCGTACAGCTTGGCGACGAGTGTTTTATCTGGCTTAAACCACGGCCTCTGATTCGCTACTACACTAGTGAGTAACGGGAGTGCAACAGACCGTGGAATGCACTCGCACATGCCGAATACAGCACGGCCGAGTCTTTTGTTCTACGCGCTAGCCGTGGTTTAAGTATGGCCTAACAATACCTTTAACTCATGGATTAAAAATATCAAAGCAATTTAAAAACAGGTTGCTTTCAAACGACATTCTATAAAATCACTTGCTTTAGTTACAGTAGTTTATTGATTGTAGAATATAACGAACTAATCAAATTATTTATTTTTAAATTGCTGTATTTCAAATTAAGGTTTGTTTTGCAAATAGCAATTTCATACATTTACATGTACCAGTATTTTTTTACATTGAACATACATGTGTCTGGATGATACAGCTTTATTCAATATCCTGTTTTATAAACATTAAAACTTTCTTGATATATTATATTTGTGTGTCTGTAGACTCGATAGTGCAGTCAAAAAGGAAGATTCGATCTTCGACTATGAGACACACATAATGTTCGATGATGCTTTCGCGTACACAACTGAAACCACGCAGACGACCAAATACGGTTATCCATGCAGCTCCCGTAAACCTGCACCGGATCCACAGAGTCCAACTCATGGAACCAAAGAAGAAGTCAAAAATACAACATACAAACGGAAAACTGTGAACAACTACGTGAATAGCTTTTTTCGAATAATACTTGAGAACGTACCCCTGGTGGTTATTTACTGCCTAACAAACATTCTTTTGGATAACAGATAGATCTTCGGTGTTCAGTGACTAAATTAATTAACATTTACACACGTCATCTTACGATTGACGTCAAAATTGCGATATCGGGGTAAAAATTGCAAAGGATGATATGGAGGATAGTAAAGGCTTACAGTACCCCTAAATACTGGTGTTTAGATTCGATCTTCGTGCTTTTTACAGCAGGGCGAGAACATTGTATACATGTACATGTTTTCAAAATGACAGCAGCTTATACTTTTTAATCATACATGTAGGCAAGATGTTGATCATGAAATGGTGAAAAGAGTCATGCAAGGATTCGGAAAAACACCGATATCCTCTGATGCAGAACACAATCAAACCAAACCAACGACAACTGCGAGCGAAACAAGTACTAGACCTGAAAAAATTTGCAAAGACAGAGCATTTATGGACAGCATTCCGGAGACACAAACTGCCGCATCTGCAAATGTAGAAAATCATATGCGCACCCCAGCAACTTGTATCAAGGTTACCAGGACGCCGTATGGTGGGAGACTTGAAATTGGCACCGCGGTGTCAAGCAACACAAAGTCCTACCATTCAAGGGTCCGGCGGACCCGGTGTTTTAAAACTGAGAGTCCGGCGGACTCCCTGTCTCGAAATCTCGGTCCCGGACCATATGTTCTGAAATGTAGAGTCCCCCTAGGACCCTTCGTTTTAATACTGACAGTCCGCATTGAGGAGTAAAAATTAAAAATATTATTCTTATAACATGCAATTTGAATATGAATTTGAACATGATGAAGAAAGATATGGAGTGAAAAACTATGAAGATTAAAGGTTAAATAAGCATGATAACCCTCCGTAAAAATTAAACACATACTATAAATTTGTATTGTTGGCATTTCATAAACTTTAATTGGCTCTATTTAGCCTATGAATGCAATTGTAAAAAATCAAGAAAATATTTAATTGAATTCTTCATATTTATAGCAAATCCAAAAAAAACACTTGCTGTTGTTTTCCCATTATTTTCTTTTTCAAAAACTGAATGAAAAATGGGGATAATTTAATGAAAAAGGATAATAACTTTGCATTCTTGTGCCCGTGGGATTTTGACTCCACTTGGTTACGAATGAAAATGAATATTTTTCCTGATTTTTTTCCACCCAATATTTTAACATCGAACTTTCAAATATTTCCAATATATTGTTCATAAAGTATACTAAATGGAAAGATGTTGAAATGATCACCAAATATCAATTGAATAGCTTTTCCATAGCGGAGTCATTGGGTGGTAAATACATATTTTGTTTTCATGAAAAATTTCACCTGCAAACTGACAAAGTGTCAATATATCCTCCATTATGCATAATTCAAGATAAAAGTCAAAATTTATCTTTGGGGAGTCTGATTTTCATTACGAAAATTTGACTGGGGAGTCAAGTTTTTTTATGGGGAGTCACCTTTTAGGGGTGTCAAATTTTCATGGTACACCTGCCATGTTGTAAATAAAGCCGTATTGCTTGAAAATCCATGGTGTCAGTGTAGGGCATCGCGAGCAGCTAGTCATTTTATACCTTGAGAACCATGAAATGCAGTCCTTTTGGGTTGATTCCATTTATATATAGGTCATTTATTTTATTTGAATATAAGTTATTTAAATTGTAAAACAAAATTAAATGAGTATATTTTCAATGACATTTTAATAATAATTGAATTCCGTCCGTTTCAAGAAAACATATTTTGCACAGCTTAACACTGATGCACTGTGTAACGCTTGCTGTCACACACTTGAGTGGTAGCCATTGTAAGTCACGCGTATAGTTTAAAGAAAAAAAACGTTTTGCACAGCTAAGCATCGCTGCATTGTGTATGACTAGCTTACACATATTTATGAGTGGTAGTCAAATAAGTCACGCGTATGGGGGGGGGGGGGCTAGTTCAAACGATCACAAGGCAATGGAATATCTGTGAAAAACCTCAAATGAATGAAAAATAAGAGTAAGCAATTCAAATCCATTGGGGGACTCGATCCGAAGTCTGGTAGATTGCTACATGTACATTAATTCCATTGTATGCTCTTCGTACGTGTCGCTCTCCACTACACCACCAGGTCGTTGTGCAAAACTGTATATTATACCTAATTATCATGATGCAGAGTCCGAGACTTTCTGTCATGGGGGACCTTCTGGTACATGATACCGGTTTTGGACTCTTATCCACTTCATATCGACAGCAGTACCTTCATTGAAATTGGGCAAAAATAGAGTCCACCCTTTGAATGATAGCAGTGATAAGAATGGGTCAGGAATCTCGGAAAATAAAAGTGCTGACTGTGAAACTGCTTTCGTGGGTAACACTGGTGGATTGGAGAATAAACAAACGATCTGCCCCCAATAGGCAGTCAGTTGATGTTGAAACTTCATGGTCAGGTGCAACACATTTGGTACACAGAAGCATTCCGTTAGGCTAGAACCGGCTGCAAATTAGTAAATTAATTCGATAACAATGGCAATAATAAAGCTTAAGAACAAAAACGAAAAGAGCACAAAAACAAAAAAGGAAAGGAAAAACCAAGAATAATCGAAACAAAAAATCAGACGGACAACCTTCTTCGCAAAAAGACCATATTATTCTTCAACAAGACCTCGCAAGCTTAGAAAACTGGGCCATGAAATGGGGCATGCGTTTCAACGCTTCCAAAGGTTATATTCTTAGTGTTTGCCAGAAATCTTTCTTCTACCAACTGGAACCAGTGCTTAAAAATGTTCAGACCAACCCATATCTAGGAGTCATGCTTTCCTCCGACCTTAAATGGTCAACTCACATAAACAACTTATGTAAAAAAGCCAGTTGCCTACTAGGATTCATTAGAAGAAATTTATACCATAGTCCAGTTATCACACGGAAATCTGCCTACATAGCTCTTGTCCGTTCCACTCTAGAATATGGTGCTATCATATGGGATCCTTATTTAAAAACAGACATTGATAAAATGGAAAAAATTCAAAGAAAAGCTGCACGGTTCATCACTGGGGATTACAAGTCTCAATCCCCAGGTAGTGTCACCTCCATGCTGAAATCACTAGAGATACCACTACTGCAGCACAGGAGGAAGGAACTGCGGCTAACTTTTCTATTCAAGGTGGTTGAGGCGTTAGTTCCAGCGATTTACTTCGTACCAGTCTCTAACAAACGTCGTATAAGGGCTAAATCTTTCATTGACTTTGAAAACATTGTGAATAGTACTAATAACAGTCGCTGCTTTCGCTTACAACGTTGTAAAACACTCGTCAGAAAAAACTCTTTCTTTGTCAGAACAGTTTCCGATTGGAATGGACTCAGTGACCAACAAGTAAACGCTGAAACTGTTGAAAGCTTTAGATCAGGACTACTATTTGACTAAGTTTCCCATGCGCTCTCTTCTATCCGTCTACTTCATACCAGTATTGGTGTCTCTAGACGTACATGAACAGATACAGAAACCTCCCAGTGAGTGAGTCGCTGCATAATGAAGAATGGAACGGATTAGCGAACATGTTGTTCCAAATACTACTAACCTTTTGTGAGCTAGTGATTTCCATAATTTAATAGAGTTTTTAGGATTGACTGCACATGAAAATACCGGGTATATGATTTAAAATAATGTTCTAGAGCGTGACACCCAGTGCCTTTGTGGTGTAAATAAATGTTATATCGACTCGCCCTTCAAGATATCGACGGAATATGTCTAAATCTCAAATTCGAAGAGGCATTGCAGAAAAAGCATGATAGCTAATAGCTATGATAGCTATGATAGTTTTCAAATTTTGCAAATAGGCGCGATATTATTTAAATAATAAGTGTTGTAAATTAAAATTTTTATCGACACGATTTTGTAGACTTTGAGATAGAACGTTTTAAATGTGCAGCAAACCGTAAAGCTAATTCCTTCAAGATCTCCACGAAAACGGTAGTCGTGTCGTCATTCAGTTGTATTTGGAAAGCTGCTGGGTGATTTTCCCATAAGAAAAATTTCGTAGGTTATACAAATATTGAGAAAATGACCAATTCAGTCATCAGCATTTAACTGCGTCATTAGACAGGTAAAATCGTGCATTTCTGACATTGACTTGTCAGTGTAAACAAAGTGTACTGAACACACGGCATATGGATGCAGCATTTGATACTACCGGTAGATATAAGTCCTTCAGTAATCGACAGGCTGAATTAGTATTCTGTTATCATTAACGGTAACAGCCATAGCTGAATCTGAAGGGATGGAGAAAGTAGCCAAGAACATGACACCGAGTTTTGGTGCAAGCCGCAGCAGATGAGGGTGACATTATCGAGGAAACATTTGATGGATACGGAACAAAACATACTCCCTGGTTATTTACCAAAGACTGCACTATGGACTTAACCCCAAGAATGTCCAAATGTTCGTGTATATCTTAACATGGGAGGTAAAAGATAGCAATATAGCTATGAAGATATCGATAAAGACGAAAATAATAATATTTTGTAAATGTTGTACTGCCACATAAATCTAATACAATGCAAAAAAAGCCCTATCAAAAGTGGTTAAAGCATTCAAACCAAATGTCGTAAAGTCCCCATATACCCCATAGAGACAATAAAATAGAGTACTCTAAAGTAAGAGTAGGCCTACAGTCTAAGACCCCATTTCCATAGAATTTAGATCGATCTATCCCTGTGGGGAGTCTCACTAGATTACTGTCAGCTTAGCCGGCTTAAGCGTCTGTCCCGCTGTAAGGGGGTAATTAATTATGGTGCGCGCTCGACTGACTGCAATTAAGCTTGAACCCCCAGGGAGTTAGGTCGATCTAAATCTTAATCCCTAGATCGATCTAAATCTCTGGGAATACACCCTAAGGTTGTTCTAGGTGGTTTTCAAATTTATTCACCCGGTTTTAAAATCATATAGCGATTTTACGACAATCGTTTATTATCCAATCAAGGTGGACAGCCGAGCGTGCTTGAGCCCGTGGTCGTCCTACAAAATTTGTTCTGGGGTGTGATACTCTGAAATGCGATCTGACACAGACCTTGAGAACGGATAGTGTGGTCCGATATACCAGTTAATTCAGGATCCTTATGTGTCGAGTCTGGTAGTTGGGTAGGCCTGACCACGTCTATTTCGTATGTTATTAAGCCTTATAGCAGCGGAACTGACAAGGTCTATGCCGCGTTCGTCTTTTACTACTTTGCTTCAATGAGACCCGAAAATGACATGGCTGAGTCTGTTTCGCCACTTACTGAACTGCATAGATGCGAGATTGACACAACCCATGTCGCGTTCGTCTCTTTAAGCTTGAAATGGCTATGTAATAAAAACTCGAAATCCACACGGTCATGTCTTGTTCGTCATTCACTGAGGCCCATAGATGCGAAATTGACATGACATACATGTACGCTGCATTTTTCTACTAAGGGCGTATTCCCAGAGCTTTTAGATCGATCTATCCCCGCGGGGAGTCTCACTAGGTTACTGTTAGATAATCCGGCTTAAATGTCCGTCCCGCCTCTTACGAGCTGTAAGGGGGTAATTAACTTTCGTGCCCGCTCGGCTGACAGCATTTAGCGTGAACCCCCAGGGATTTAGGTCGATCTTAAGTAGATCGATCTAATCTCTGGGAATGGGGTCTTATACTCTGCATCTTATAAAACACGAAATTGACATAGTCATGCTTATTCCGTAACTTGCTGGCTTTAATAAATGCAAGATTGCCTTTTATAACATAGCCATTTGAAGCTCAAATATCCGCAGTAAGAGACGAACGCGACATGGGTAGTGTCAATCTCGCATCTATGGAGCTCAGTAAGTGGCGAAACAAACACAGCCATGTCATTTATTTTTGGGGCTCAAAGCTCTGTAGTAAAAGACGAATGCGGCATGGGCATACGAGATAGACACGGTGCATGACGTTTTCGCATGTAAAGGGGCGTCTAAAAGACGCACGCGTAAGCTCCTATGGGCCATGGTACAAAAACAGTAAAATTTGCCGCGAGAGCATAGAAAAGTTGCAATCATGATTATGAAATGATTGTTCCTTTACCTTCAAAATCAATTACTTTATTGAGAGCAATATTGTTGGTTGATTCATAGATTTTTGGGATTCAGGTCGCCTGTGAATTTACGTAATTACCGATCAAATATAGACAACAAGTCTAAAATGCCATTTTCTTTTTGCATCTTTTCTGACTAAAACGCCCTCTATCAATTTCACGGCCCATTGGTTTTATAGGACGACCGCCCTGAAACAAACTGTCATACATTTGCCTATCATAATGCAATGTCATACCGAGAATACGTGTAGATTGTCGCGAAAAAAAAAAAAGAAAAAATAATTACACCTGTACTGTCTAGTCTAAACCGCCAAAGTCAGGCGTCAGAGTTAAACGCAATACAGGCCTTCCTATTTTCAAGGTACGTATTGTTCCCAAAGGACAAAGTGTTATGCTTTTTACTGACGACACATTAAGTGTGGTTAACGGCCCTCAAATATTTATCAATTTTTACATCTTTCAGCGAAATCTCTAAGCAGAAATTACACTCGCGAAAATGGAAATGGTTCGAAACGATATCGAGTGACACCTTATAGACTGAGTTGGCCGCAAATAATGTTCTAGTACACAGTATCCCAGTTCCACAGACCCTACATCTAACATGTCAATAGATAAACACATGCATTCATGGCTTCGAATATGCTGGAACCTGCGGCAACTCACTATAATGCAAGTGAACAAAACACAAAAAAAGAAAAAAGGGGGAAGAAAAAATACAATGAACGAACAACAAAACGGCTTATTACCGTTTTGTTCACTTTTATAAACGTAAAATCTCCATTTAGGGTTTCGCCCAAGGCAGTGTCACGTATAGGGCCAGATAAATGGATATGGACGGTGTGTATACCGCCCAGGACTCGTTCAACGGATCTCAAAACTGATAACAAAGATGTTGTATGTATTATGCCTTTAAACAACACGGTTTCTTATAGCGAATTTAGACACAAGGTTAGTTACCGGTACATTTCAATCCTCACAATGGCCACATTTGTTTTTAGCCACGTTTATTACCTCACTTGCTATAACAACAGGTGTGTTGAACAAGGTGAATATGGGCCTTATATATATATATATATATATATAAGATTATGTGATGCAAATGATGATTGCGCGATGATGTGTAGTACAAGTACAGGTAAATGCGCCTCTGACATTTCGGTATTCCTGCAGAGTTGTGTGCACTAAAGAGACAAAAAGTAATGTTTTATTCACACTTAAGTACATAAACAAGTTTTTGCTGAACAAGTGTTTCTTTTATACCTTTTATTACCAAATACAAGTGATGAATTAATTTCACTAAAATAATTTGATTTATGAACTCCTGGCGAAGTGTAATTGTATTAGTGTAAAATGAAAGGTTGGTTAGTAATACCCAGTTTAACCGGAAAATTCAAGTTATTTGCAAGAAATCTTTACGCTGGACGCCTTTAACTTTTGTGAACCCTACTTTTTGTGCTTCAAAAAGGTAAAAGCGATAACGCCAGAGTCTATAGTTGTTCATAAGATTAATACTCTGTAAATACTCTGTAGCACTAGAACTATGCAGATTCAGTAGGCGCACTTTTTATAATGAAAAGGCGCGTGAATACAGCAAACTACACTACACATTGACTGTAATGTTGATTTTACAGGCTACCCAGGTTTAAGTCATCAGCAAGTCCTGTTACTAGAGGTGGGTAAACTCGACATCTTATAACAAAGAAAGACAACTCTAAGTAAGGGATGGGATTTTATTTCAAAATTCAGAATAGTGTAAACTGGGCCATTGCTTGCATGATAAAAAGATACGATCATAAAAGAGAACAAAACATTTAAAGATCCAATATTTAAAACTGATCGTTTTAAGACATCTTTCACAAATAGCTCTCTTCAGTTATACATATACCGGTACATGTAAGCTCTTACCTGAGTCTATTAAGTTTAATTTTCTTGTTTAAAATCGTACTACTTCAACCTTCGGGTTGCAAAAAAAAAAAAATAATAATAAAAATAAAAATAAATAAATAAAATAAATAAAAATAATCGTTATCATTATTAGTTTTAAAAACACAACCAAAATGTAGCCCATGTATGACCTATCATGGAAAAGTCATCAAAATCCATCCACAATTTTAGCATAATTTTGCTAATAGACAAACTAGAATACTAAATTAACTTTTTTATTAAATTCATTGATCATAAACAATATCTATATAGTGTTCGAGCAATCAATCGATCACTCAGTTAATCAATGAAGGTAATAGGAAGTCCTTGGCAGGTTTTAATAAATTTATCTAACTATATCAGATAACATCCAGGTGCTTGACAGATAAACACCCCACGTTGCGGACTTTGGGTACCTGGTTTGCAAGGGCAAACGAAGTTGTCTGAGCTGTTAATATACATGTAAACAGGATATAAGAATATCTTATCTAAGCCTGACATTTTTAATTTACCTCGTCACTTTTGATAACTGGATATGTGCAAAGCGGTTATTACAGCAGCGTTCATAACAGTGTTGGCATTTCATGGTGACCGTAATTTAAGTAAAAATTGTCTTAAAAGTAAACAATAAGAAACATTTAAGGCACTCCAAAGTACCAGGTGGTGACATCGTAGACAATGTCTGATGAGGACCGTACCCAGGGGGGTGTAGGTGAAGACAACTCCACAGTGTCTATAACCGAGGGAACCGGCACTACTGCTACTACGTAAGTATAAAGACAAAGTCTGTCCCACGGTAAACGAAAGCTGATACGATAGTGGTAGTAAATAGAAATGTATGTAAAACGAGTGAAAATTGAATGTTAAATGTATTAAACAACTCTGGGGATCAGTTAAAATCCAAAAAACTTGACATCAATCCGTTTAGCTAAAATAACACAGTTTGTCTGTGGATTATTTCTACTCATGATTTGAAAGAAATGGCAAGATGTGCATCATTAAGTTCCTATTCAATGTCTTCAAAATTTAACTTTCCTGAAAAATAAATATGTACAGACTCTTGAAAGTGTTCCTCCTCCAACAAACATCTCCTTTATTAACATATTGTTCGAAACCCTTTGCCCGCTCCCATGAATATCGGAACATTATAAGTGTTACAAAAACATAGATAATTTTTTTTAAAAAATAACAATCTGATCCTGGGTGCAAGATTAAATATGTTGAAATTTAAATTTTATTATGTTTATGAGAAATAAACAGCTGTCTGGATGATAACATATATCCCTGTTTTGTAATTTAGAAAGGCGTACGACTTTCGTGTATTTCGGAAGAAAACGAAGAAGCGAAAACAACCCGACGACGAAGAAAGTACCGTGGACAAATGCTGCTCAGTAATTTCTCTGCTCCTGTTTGGCATAGTTACTCTTGTCATCATTATCGCTGGTGTTGCTTCCAACAGAATTCTCATCGTTGTATCCATTTCGAAAATAAAAGAAAACAGGACATATGCGTCTAATCATTCCACAGCTTCTAAAGCGACGAACTTGACAACCTTTGATGATGAAAAAGCCGAGAAACTTAGATGGTACTGTCTGTTGCTCGGGAGTATGCTTGCACCCGTTGTTCTGGGATTTATTGGATCTGTTTCATCCGCCTGCTTTCAATCAGCTCGTAAAAAAGGAACAAAATTCATGGCACAGGACTTCTCTGACCAATTGACTGAAGGCTACGTATCTGAGGATAAAAAAATGCCGCTTGGAGCATTTGCAAAGAGAATTATTTCTCTCATTGTTCTTGTAAGTATGGTTTAATTTTGTATATATAACAATCTGTCCTTTTCTAAATTTTCTTCATAATTTGACAAAGTGCTCATAAACTGATCATAAAACAAATTATATGCGTCTTTCCCGTTTCATAGAACCAAAATATGGCCGATTTCATTCTCACTTAATGATTGATTCCAGATGCAAGGGGGCAGGGTTGAATTCAATAAGAGAAGTTTCTCATGTAAATTTATACAGCAGATAAAAGACACATATCTCCAGCACACATATTCCGATATGTATGATGTAAACATCGAAACTACTATAACAAGAGGGCTTTTCTCTTTTCAGCAAATTTACCTTTTTTATACTTTTAAATCTAATTTCGTGAATACATTCATTAAGATTCGATAAAGAAATGCGTGCTTGTATACATATTTACTTTACAATGCGTAAGTTTTTTTTTTGTCAGATCAACAGAAATCAAATGTAACGGCATATGTATGTCTCATCTTTCTTTGTGATTTCACAGACGAACTTATCTAATTTGCCATTTGACCCATATATTTGTTCATTGCTGTATCAGTTTGCCGGTTTTCATGTTTGAACTCACATGTAGCAACCAAGTCCAATATAGAGGTGCAAAGGAAGTCACAGTCATGCTCTTAGAAATACTTAGTTCACAGATTGCAAACTGTGTTTGGTTTTTAGGGTTCCACATGAAGAAGTTTGTTTCAAAGTTTCACTCTCCTGGAACCATGAATAATAAGAATAATTCATCGCCTAACCCCCCCCCCCCCCCCCCAAAAAAAAAAAAAAAAAAAAAAAGGGGGGGAACACACGTTACTGTCACAAATGCAAAACGTCCAGCTGGGAAACAGTTTATTCACTTTGAAAATTTAATCATCACTGGTTTTGATCTTCAGTTAATTGTTTAGTTTGCTTGTCACTGAATATTAAAAAAAGCGGGAAAAATACACTCTACCGACAGTAAATTAAGCATTAAATAAACTATTTTTTCACTCAGGATATTAATATTATATCAGAAACGTCAAACTATCATGGAATCACATATATTTTTCGGTCAGCAACTTTCTGAATGTTTTGGGGGGATAATACGTTACGTAGTATTAGCCATGACGCAAAGCCCCTTGAGTTACAGTTTAAACATTTATAAAAATATCCTTACGTCATGTATAATTAACCATTACTGAATCACTAAAAAATGTATCGGAACGCGTTATAAAAATTAAAATCATATGACTCGGAACACTAAGTTACCGGAACATACGTTACCATTTAGGGCTCTTTACATAATGTCAACACATGATAGAAATTAAAAATTTAATTAAAACTGAGACAGTCGTGGATTTTTGTTTCATACACATATATGTTTTAAGATTTGAATACAGCTTTGAATTCATTCAATTTTATTTTTTGGACACTTCAGCATGTGAAATGCACCTCTATACTGGGTTTGGGTGGTACATGTATATAGAATGGCTCAAGGAATAAGAGATCATCCTATTTTGTTTTCCGTTTCGAAAAAAACTACTGTATAATTTTTTTTTTTTCATTTCATTCCTGTTTTAATTTAAGAAAAAAATTTGTAAGTATATATATTGCTATATGGCATTCCCGCCACGCATCCTGGATCAAGTTCATCGTGTCATTACAGCCTCGGTTTTCCTCGATTTGTGTGTGTACATCTCCTTCATTCGGCTTCAGGGGGGAAACGATCCTATATGCCACATTCGATCTTTTCTTGTATCCAGGTCGAGTTTATCGACTACTTTTTTTTCACGTTATGAAACACACACATCTGTATAAACGTTACTAACAACTTGACCTCTTTGTTGATAGCAACAGGCGTTTAGATCAAAAGATTTTGGATATGGCCATGATATAATGCGATGTGAAATAGATTTCTGTCGTGCAAAAATGGGAACTACAATCTTATTCTTATTCTCATACATGCATAGACAGACAGACAGGTGCATTTTCATTTTCTTTACTTCATATTCATCTTTTAGTTTGTGTAAAATAGGCCTTGTAAACACCGTGACAATATTATTATCGGTCTATCGATAAGATTTGACATTTACTTCTGAAGTCATAGAAACGAACTAATATTTGATTATACACGTAGTTATCGGTTTGTGTATCTATGTGTGTGTGTGTGTGTGTGTTGGAGGGGGGCAAGAGCCTCGAGCGAACCGAGTCCAAATGTTTGCGTCTGTTTCCCTGCCAAAGGGAAATTATAACGAGGGGGTTACAAAGTTATAAAGTATATGAAGTTAGGATAACAAAGTTATAAAGTGTGTGTGTGTGTGTGTGTGTAAAGGGAATGTGACTGCTGTGGTTGTAAATACGCTTGGTGGGAGGCCCAAAGGGTCTTTGATAAGGAACTTCAAAATACATTCTTAGTCCTATTTGTTGTCACTGTAACATGTATCAGGTGACTCCTTACTGTAACGTACATCGGCGCAACTGAATTTGTTATGCAGCCTGCTTCCTTCTCAAGCACAAAAATGTTCATTGAATGCGGACATTTTTGCTATCCAATATCTGGTGCATGTTTTTGGTTGTCACATGTATTATGGAAAAAAAACGTTGTGAACGGGTTTTTAGGACATTTAGAAACGTTTAGATTTTGGTGGTGATTCATTGCTTGATAAATGATAAATGAATACTTTATAATTGATTTTCTGTTAACAAAATTATGGAGAAAGCTTAGATAGATTTTAAAGGGTTAACAACTGTTTATTTTGGCCAAAAAATGAATTTTCCTGGGGTAAAGGACAATTTTCCCATACTCATCAATAGTAAATGAATCCATTCCCACATTCAAAATTAGTCCCTGTTTTTTTTTTTTTTTTTTTTTTTTTTTTTTTTTTTTTTTTTTTTTAAAAAAAATTTTTTTTCTAAAATTATTGTGTTAACCGCCATTTTGGTGGTATAATAGAATTTATTGTATTTCTATGAGTTATCTACAATGTATTTATTGTGAAATAGGGATATCTTACGAACAGTTGTTATCCCTATAATAAATTTTCAGAAACTGTCGGGAGGGAGACAAGTACCAAACCATTAGATTGATTTTGATGGTGATCCATTAATAAATGAATTAATCAGTTGATTTTAATATCGTTTGTCGATTACCATGATAATGTCAAAAACATAAAAATGATTTTGGTGATGATTGATTAATTGATCCATTACTTGATAAATTAATTTGTACTGGTAGACAAATTAATAATAAGCGTTTAGATAATTGATGAAGTTGTTTATTCAAGCATTTATAATACGATTGAATTTTAAACTAATGAATAAATGAATTATAATGAGAATTGAGCTGTCTCGGCGAAGGTCTGCACTCTGAGTGCTAAAATGCTTCAACTGTTTTAATGATTTATTTGTGGCATAAACTGATATTTAAAAGTACAAGAAAATGGGGTAGTTTATGTAGGAATTTGCATGCAATATAATGTTGAGTCATTGAATATACACTTTTAATGAAAATTGTTCTTTTCCAGACTTCCATTCCTGAAATCCTGCATTCGGGTGGAATGTGCTTATTCGTTTTCAAAACGCTTCTTGAAATCCATACGTTGGACATCATGCCCTTATTCTATGCCACGGGCCTTGTCCCCGCTTTACTATTGCTGATTATTCACATCAAATCCGACAGACAGTCCCGTGGAATAAAGAGTTTCGACATTTTGCTTGACATATTGGTGGTATTGATTCAGTTAGGATGCGTAGTGTTTATTTGCTGGAACTGGGATTCCCAAAGCCTTCGCAACTTTGCGCCATCGAGTGTTTGGACTTTACCGGTCGCGATTCTGCTAATTTCGTTCGGTTGGTGGGAAAACTTTGTCAACACTGATGCAAAGAATTACATATCAGTACCTATCAAGAACTTTAAAACAGAAATGAGAAGACACAGGTCGCTGATTTATTCCTACGTTCTGTTTTTTAAGATGATTGCTACCTTGTGCTTTGCACTAGGTATATTGAACTGGAACGGGTTTTCCGTAGAAGACATTCAAAGATTTTTAATCTCAGATCAGTCCCTTGATGAAATAGAGAGAGTGGCCTTAATAAGCGTGGGTTGTATTCTAGGTTTTGCTGCCTTGCTGTCTTATCTATCCATATTCTTAACATGCACCATGGGCATTCCTAAGTTCGGCTATGTCTGTGTTGTGATATCCATGATTGTGTCCGCTATTGGTGTTTTCATACCGATGTGTAGTGAAGGGACATCGGCTTTTATTGAGAAATACACTCCTGACCAGACACTAGGGGGAGTCATACGTAGATGGCTGGTGGGCAGCCTATCGCCCAACTGTGATCCCCACAATCCTTCGCATGTTGGAACCCAGATTGGACTGTATATCGCCCTTCTCCTCTCTCATCTTCTTCTGAATAGACATGTGTGGAGTGCCCTTGGAAAAACTGCCATACCCTCCCTGAAATGGATATTTGTCCAGCCTCTGTACTGTGGTATTCTCCTAGAGCAGTCGTTCATGTTTCGTAGACGACTGCCAAAAGACGTTGATGTTGATGGGGGCAACGTTGATTCCGTCGAAGATGTTGCCCACATCCCTTCCAGTGAGCAATCAGAGAAAAAGAAACCAATGGTATACGCTTGTGGTACCATGTGGCATGAATCCGAGATTGAAATGAGACAAATGCTTGCCAGCATTATAAGGTAGACCGTTCTGTTATCTTTTTATTCATATATTTTGTTCCTACAATTATTATGATACGATTTATTATTTAACTAATTTAACTAATTTTTAATTATATAGATATCAAAAATATCAAAACAATTTAAAAACGGATTACTTTCAAACTCTACCATCACAACGGCATACTGTATAACCAGTTGCCTTAGTTACAGTAACCAGGGGTTGGTTTATAATATTATTTCATGTGTTTTTGTATGTTGTAACATAATGGGGCATATTCTTAATTGTTTAAAATTTCGTGACTGCAGAATATAATGAGCTAATCCAAATATTTTTATATTTCAAAATTTCAAGTTAAGATTTGTTATGCAAATAGCAATTTCATACCGTTTTTATATCAAAAGTATTAGGATGATACAACTTTATCCAATGTCCCGTTTTATACACAATAAAACCTCGATATATAATTTTGTATCTGTAGACTCGATACCGCAGTCAAAAAGGAAGATTCGATATTCGACTATGAGACACACATAATGTTCGACGATGCTTTCACGTACACAACTGAAACCACGGAGACGGAAACCAAAGGAGAAGTCAAAAAGACAACTTACATACGGAATACTGTGAACAACTACGTGAATAGCTTTTTTCGAATAATACTTGAGGACGTATTCGGGTAAGAAAATTTTAAGCAAATACAAATCAGCCCTTAAAAGTGTTAATTTTCGATCTTCGTGTTATTTGCAGAAGGGTGGGAACATGTTTCCAAGATGAAAGCAGCTTTTATTTTTTTTTAATCATAGGCAAGATGTTGATCATGAAATTGTGAAAAGAGTCATTCGGGGATTCGGAAAAGCACGGCAAGCTCCAGATGTAGAACACAATCAAACCGAACAAACGGCAAATGTAGAAGACAATACGCGCACCCCAGCAACTTGCATTAAGGTTACCAGGACGCCGTATGGTGGAAGACTTGAAATTAAAATGAATAACACTACCTTGTATGTCCATTTAAAGGATAAAGATAAAATTCGACACAGAAAAAGATGGAGCCAGGTAAAATGTCTTCTGGTGATGATTTATTAGTATTTGTCATCTCTTAAATGTTAGTAACGATTAAAAATATAATGATATAATACAGAACATATTTTCAACATCTGATTTGTGTGAACATAAAAAGGGACCCAAATAACAGTGTTGAAATGCTGCTAGTTCTTTTGTCCCTCGATAAACAATGTCACATCTTTTTCAAACAAAGAAAAACATGCATGTATTGACTCAGCATGATAAAGCTTGTGGCAATTTTTCAGGTGATGTACATGTACTACCTCCTGCAGTATAACACTAACCCGGAAAACCCAGACAGAAAACACGATGAAAATGACCTGGACAACGTGTATTTGTTGGCTCTGGACGGAGATGTTGATTTCCACGCAGATGCCTTGACCAGCTTGGTGAAAGAGATGGCGTCAGACAAGAAACTGGGAGCTGCCTGTGGACGAATCCATCCAATCGGCAGCGGTAAAATATTTTATTGTGATTTTCAAATACCTTAATATGTATGCATTTCAGTGAGTGGGATTAAAGGGATAATAACAGTGTAAACTGGAGTAAACAACAATTTTCCCATACTGCCAATGGTTAATGAATCCATTTCTACATTCAAAGTTAGTCCCTTTTTTCTAAAAAGTTTTTTTTTGGTAATTATCTCTTAAGAGATTATAGCAGAGTATAGCCATCTTTGGAGGTCACGTGGTCCGATGACAGGCTCAGATATCAGAATTATAGCTATAATTGCCGTTTTGGTGGTAAAACAGAATACATTATATTTCTACGAGTTGTTTACAATGTTATTATTGTGAAATATAGATCTCATACAAAGAGGTATTATCCCTTTAATTATTTATTTTCAATTCAACCACAACATAAACTGACCAGTGATAATCAGGTAAGATGGCCGGAGAACTCCTATGAGTGGGTATTATTCACCTCAACGTACCCCCCCCCCCCCAAAAAAAAAAAAAAAATGCCCTTTTATTTGTAAGGCTTTATGAAATAACATTATATTTATCGTAGGACCTATGGTATGGTACCAGAAGTTCGAGTACGCCATTGGCCACTGGTTACAGAAGAGCGCGGAACATGTTCTTGGATGCGTTCTCTGCAGTCCTGGCTGCTTTAGTTTATTTCGCGGGAAGGCAGTGATGGAAGTGATAGACATCTACTCCAATCGACCCAAAAAAGCAGTCGACTATCTACAGTTTGATCAAGGTATTTCTAGAGTTTTGTTATAGTGAATAACAATGTATAACATCATACGAAGTTATGATGCAAGTGTAACATTTTATTCCAGATACATTTTGTTATTCACTAGTTAGCAAAAAGGTTGTCGCTAATGAATCCCATCTAATGTTTTAATTTACACTTTAAATAGTGCATTTTATTCCAAATCTTATATCTAGCACGACTTGAAATGACATTGCCAAAACAGCACATAACTTATGCAAAATTAGCGTCAAAAAATGCTCTTTAAAAGCCACTTGTGCAGTAGCGTTTGTTCCTACTCCAATCTACTTCTAGTGTGTGTGTGCGTGTGTCACAGGCCCAGACCCCATGGTGTCTTTGCATTGTTAACAGCATAATGGGCAAGTTAATTGACGAAGTTAATTGGCCAAGCTGCCACTTTGTGTGGCATGTGTAATTATAATTGTAATTTACTCTTAAGAAAATGCATATATTTTCCAAAAAGGTCATCAAAGTATTAATGAGCAGACTTTTTCCTTTAATCTGTACAAAACCTAGATAATTGAAATAACACACTAACAAATGGCAGTCCGCTCTTAATTTAACATTCCTGTAGTTAATGTTACTAAATCAATCTACATGCCTTTTCTTTAAACATTAAACATCATTAAAAGTATCATCCTAAGATGTGTTCTACAAATCACAGGTAATGAAATACAACTATATTTTATTTGCCACACCTGTATTTAATCCTTAAGAAAATGCATATATTTTCCAAACAGGTCAACAAAATATTAATGGGCAGACTTTTTCCTATGATCTGTACAAAACTTAGATAATTAAAATAACACACTAACAAATGGCAGCCCGCCTTTAATTTAACGTTTCTTTAGTAAATGTTACTAATTGAATCTTCATGCCTTTTCTTTTAACATTAAACATCTTAAAAAGTATCATCCTCAGATGCAAAACTGACAAATCACAGGAATGGAATACAACTATATCTCATTTGTCACACCTGTAAGTATCATAATATGCCATGCCATACAAACAAACTAGCAACTTGACCAATTAACTTGGTCAATTAACTTGCCCGTTATGCAGTAAACAATGCAAAGACACCATTAAGACTGGGCCCAAGCCTGCGGTGCGACAGGCTTTCATCAGGGCTCGCAAATTGTTTTATTTATTTATTTATTTTGTCCTGATTATTACTGGGTTTATTTGCTCAGAAACTGGAATTTGCGCAAGGTATTATAGAGAACATTACGAAGAAGAAGATGATAACCCATTGCTGTTACCCAGTATCGTGGACGTGCAGATATATAAAATTACCATAAGAGAAATTATGTAAAATTACACGTCCCCGACACTGATACAGACTCCCACTCGACCACTGATAGGCTACAAGAAAAAATGTTGATTCGTCACGAAAAAGGACTTGATCGTACCTCTGGGACCAATGACCATGACTTTCCCAACTGAAATCTCTTTCCATTTCCAAGGATAGACGATAATAATTCAATCATGACAACGCACTTGGATGAGTATCTCTAAAAATCAGACTTGTGAGCCTTTTGAAAGTACCTGTATGCCTGCAAGAGGTAAATGTCGGCACACGCTATTGGACACGTGCTTTTAAAAAGAGCACATTTTGTGCTTAATTTGATAACATTTGGCTGTAGCTATTCAATTTAGGACATATTTACATCTGTGAAAGGGACAAAGAACAGATTTGATATACCAAGACACAGTCCTAACAATAATTCTTTCAATAATAAACTACATAGTAAAAAATTAGAGATAGGACGTTATAGATTTTCGTCCAATTTGCAAACTGAATTCTAATAAATCAAAAGCAGTTGTTTTTTTTATTTCAAAGGAGAAGACCGTTGGTTGTGTACCCTCTTGCTTCAAAACGGTCGGAGCATCAAATACTGTGCGGCATCTGATGCTTGGACCTATGCACCAGAAACATTCTCAGAGTTCTACAACCAACGGCGACGGTGGAGCGTGTCAACCATTGCCAACTTGTACGACTTATTATCTAACGGCTGGCAAACTTCCACAAGAAACGATAACATATCGTTTGGTTTTATCGTGTACCAAGCTCTTCTTCTGGTATCTACTTTGCTTGGCCCTGCCACAGTTCTAATGGCCATATCAACGTCTATTACGACCCTGTTGGTGCCAAACCTGAGCAATGACACTGCAGGTGTATTTGTAACCAACGGAATTATCCTCCTTCCAATTATATTTTACATCTGGGTCTCGTTCACACAAACCAAAAATGTCCAGCTGAACGTAGCGACGATTCTCAGCGGCATGTATGCTCTTCTCATGGTAGCCACCCTCGTTGGTATAATAGTTGAAGTAGGTACAAACGTTGGAAGTATGTCATCCATTATCTTTTTGATCCTGGTAGCAGTTTTTGTTACAACAGCACTTATACACCCAAAGGAACTCTACTGTGTTTTTTACGGACTACTATATTTCGTAGCTATCCCATCTATGTACGTATTCTTAACAATTTACTCACTTTCTAATCTCAACGACGTGTCATGGGGAACAAGAGAAACTCCAAAGCTTGACCATGATAGTGAAGGACACGGTTTGCCTAGGAAGGTTACTAAAAGCAGTGAGGACGGATTTAACTGTGATTCGTTTTTTGGCTGTATTTGTCGCTGTAGAAAAGACAACGCAGGCCAAATGGAAAACGGAGTTGCCAGTCAAAATTCACCGACGTATGCAACTGCTGACAAAGGCAGTTTGCCACCACTCAAAGCAAAGAAATGGAACAGTAAGTGTATATCTCCATAAAACATATTTGATATATATATATATATATATATATATATAGATATATATAGATATATAGTAAATAAATACATCGACTAGTTTTAATAGAACCAAGTTGGTGACACATTGAATTGCTTCAACGGAAATATTGTGGTGCAATTAAATTATTAATTAAATAAAATAATAATCTCTTACCGTATTACTTTATTGTATTTATTTAGTCTTCTTATACCAGATCTTATGCGATGGAATTGGATCTTATACTCTTATTTCTCAAATGATTAAAGGCTTCAGTATTGAACAATCTTTTAAGTAAGGTGTTATATATATATATATATATATATATATATATATATATATATATATATATATATTCTAGACACCGTTGTTGTTGTGTTACAGGAGTCAAGGAATTGGTATTTAAGGAATACACATGGACCAGCGCCTTCAGTACGAATATGTGGCACAAACAAACCAAAACAACCGTGAACTTAAAAGAGCAAAACAAATATGAATACACCTTCTGGAAGCACCTGATCAAATTCCGTCTTGAGCCCATAGACAAAAACGCAGACGAAGAAATACTGAAGAAAGATTTGAAAACACTACGCAACAACTCCATGATATTTGTTTTGTCTTGCAATGCTGTCTGGATAGCTTTCACGATCCTCATCCAAAACCAATCTGACATCTTAATTCGTTGGCGTGACCACAATGGCTACGAACAGAAATCGGATGTCTTGAGCCTTCTGTTTCTCAGCTTATTTATTCTGATGACTATCATACAGTTTATTTGTATGCTTTGGCACCGGTTTTGGACTCTTATCCACTACATGTCGACAGCAGTGTCTTCATTAAAATTCGGCAAAAACAGAGTTCATCCTTTAAATGATAACAGTGATATGAATGGGCCAGGAACCTCGGAAAATAGAAGCGGTGGCCGTGAAGCTGCTTACGTGAGTAACACTGGTGAATTGGAGAATAGACAAGCGATCTCTGCCTCCAGTAGGCAGCCAGTTGATGCTGAAACTTCACGGTCAGGTGCAACCCATTTGACACACAGAAGCTTTCCGTTAGGCTTCTTAGAACCGGCGGCAAATCACCAAATTAATTCGATAACAGAGGCAATAAAAAAGCCGAAGAACAAACACAAAAAGAACACAAAAACAAAAAGAAAAGGAAAAACCAAGAAAAATCGAGACAAAAAATCAAACGGACAACCTCCCAGTGAATATGTCGCTGCATAATTGAGAACGGAACGGATAAGCGAACATGTTGTTCCAAATACTACTAACTTTTTGTAAGCTAGTGATTTCCGTGACTTAATACAGTGTTCAGGATTGACTGCATATGTAAATATATGATTTAAAATAATGCATTAGAGCGTGACACCCAGTCGTTTTTGTTGTGTAAATAAATGTTATATACTGCTTAAATGAAGTTACAAACTCCCGCCTTTTAAGAAAAATTTAAACCAATCTCTTTGTTATTTAAATTTAACAATTCTAATACAAAGACATATATCATTGTTTTTGGATGACATTTCTACTTAAATTGTGTGACACAGAAAATAACTCTGCACTTGTTAAAAGTAATATTTATGATTATATTTGGGTTGAAATACGTAAAAACTTGGGTAAAATTAATTGACTTCTCAAATTCATGGGGGTTTTGCGTGAGTCAAAATCAAGGTTGTGATGAATATTCTATTAGATAACATGTTTGCACTTGCCCATGTGAATTGCCCTCGTGAAAATCTCACTGCATGCGCTTTGACTGTCACATTCTCTAGCTATGCCCCAAATCCGTGTTTTGTCCTTGGAGGAAAGAGGATGGATAAAAACTTATTAAATGCAGGTTTTTGTATGCAAGGCACTGCCTGAAGACTAGATGTAAGTCCTTCTGTAATTCACAGGCTGAATTAGTATACTCTTGGACTTTATCGACAATAGAACCCGCTAGTGATTTGTTTACAATACGGTACAGATGAAAAACACTGTAAAATTGTGTGCGTTATACATGTATGTACAAGAGACCTATGCTTGTTTTATAGGCCTAACTATAAGATTCCATGTGAAGATTTTTTTCTCCTATATAGCCACCGCATTTATTTCCGATTTTTAGAAGTTGCTGTCCCTGTGATTCGTCTGGTGATATTGATTCTCTTCTCTTTTGTATCAGCTATTTCGTTACAATGATCAAGCTTTGTTATTGATTTGAGAATGCAATTATGCAATAATAGTGCAATTCACAACTAATAGATCCGTGTAACAGAGAGTTCACCCTCTATTTAATTATAAAGGTTGGGCTTAGCCAGACGTGAATGAGTCAAAATCTAGGGCAAAAACCCTGTGCAAATTGTTGGGAACCGGACTCTCTATAAAAGGCCCTTAAAGTTGGCCGAAAATACGTTTAGATATGAGCATGCTATTCCATTTTAGCGAGTGTGAACTACTGGGAGAGCCATGAACTCCAAATGTCGCAAAGTAATTACTATTAGGTCCGTTAACCTCATATCCCTTGCCAATATACCATGGTTTGAACATTAAGACTGGAACTTGTTTCCTGTCAATGGGAGCAGTAAAATTGACACCTATTCTCTTGTGACCTTTACCTTCACGTCACATCGCTTACACTATAATATAAATTCAAATGTGTAACTATATATGCTGCCTATTTACTTATCTATGTAGCAGTGTTGCTAGTCTACTAGTATTTGAGTAACGATGTAGTTCTGTAATTTTGTCGGGTGATTGTACCTTATTTGTGAAGGTGCAGGCTATATGAATAAAGAAATTTTATGCTGTATAGCAGCAAAACTCTTGTGTCTTGATTTCAAAATTCGCGAACATATAACAAAACAGTTATGGACTTTCTGTTTCGATCACTAATGGCGACGCATGTTACCATTATGTGACCTTACCTTAAGTCAATAATTGTTTACTGTTATAACTACCGCAGTTAAAATCAGCTGTGTTGGATTATTTGATTAATTTTCTGCAAGTCCATAGCACTTTCAGATCATTAGCTTTATATATTAGTTTATTCCCATCGAGACATGTATAACGGAAATTTTTCATTTCCACACTAAACTTTCTACAATGTTTAATGTTCAATTCGACAATATATATATATATATATATATATATATATATATATATATATATATATATATATATATATACACGGAGTCAAACTGCATTGCGATCAATACAGGATAATACAGTTGGTACAGTACGGAAGTAATACAGCATTTTAAGAAAATATGCAAACGTATAGTGATACATTTATCCTACTTTTCTCACAATTATTGTGAAATATCCTGAAATTTTCAACTCCTGGCGATTCGTGGGATTCGTGGTCTGTGTGAAATAGGGGCATCAAAGTTTTTGCCACCAATTCCTGTTGGTCAAGAAGTGCAAGAACTGACTACGAATATATACGAATCTGTTAAGAACGTCACGAACTGATTACGATTCAACCACGAATCGTGAAATTTGTCAATTCATGGCCATTCGTAGGATTTGTGGTCTGTGTGAAATAGGGGCAGTACAGATATAGGCATGATGTTCTGACAGGTACGACTGCACAATGTAGAACACAGAACATAAGCATGATGTACAGGTACAATGTAGAAATACGCGTACGGAGTACGGAGTGTTTTACAGAGAGGTCAAAAGCCAATATTCGCTGGCTTTTGCTAAAATATACAAAGATATCCTATAGTACATCAATCGTTCAAGAAAACTGTAGTGAGTACATGCAGAGATATTGAATATTCACAGACCCTTAGTTCACAGCCCAAGATGCAGCTGTCCCCGGCAGAACTGGTCAGCAGAGACGAGATATGAGAGGAGGTTCTGTAGAAATTCCCAGGAATTATCTGAGAACTATATCAGCGTATACTTTTTGTGTTAAGAACGTCATCATGACTTATTTGTTCCTGTAAGAAAATGGTGATCCCTATTCTATTTCCACTATATTTAATCTGACGATATGTAAGATGTATTCCTAATATAAATTCGTTTGCGCTAGTGTCTTTCAACTTTAGTACTGCTTCTAATGATCTTTCATTTGATTTCATCTTTCAGAAATATCATATCTTTATCTCAGCATATATCTCATGAATTTATATCTCAGCATATATCTGCATATACTGCAGCATATATCTGCATCCTACATGTACATGGTGAAAACAAACGTCCGCTTGAAAATTCCTCTTTGAAAAATGTCATCATGACTTTTCTGTTTCTACGAGTAATTACCACTTTCGCAAAAAAAAATCAAGAGATTTAATGAATTGTTAATAGGTATAGTCAATGTCTCGCACAAACGAATCATATTAGACGAATGCTACGTACATTTGATATATCCGCATAATGCTTCAAGCATGATAACAACATTTTATAGGAGGGTGACTTGCACATTATATTGCGTTATAAAGTTGAATTCTTTACTAATATTTTACGACATTGCTCATACGTGAATTTTTTCGCAGATCGCAAATAAATGCGAAATGAAGAGAGAGTCTGAAGAAAACAAAAATTTTATCTTTACAGGCACCAATATCATAATTCATCTCTATAATTTGCGATTTGAAGTTCAATTAAATTTTTGGTGTATTTTGGTAATACTGTACTTTTGAACGATATTTCATTTTATTTGATAGTACATATTTCAGGCGTACCTATTTCACAACGTACATATTTTGGCAGGAGACATGTATTTGAAATATATGACACTGGCTTCTCCGAAATTTCAATTTCTCATTTCTACGTTGCCATGGCAATACTGCACAGAAAAACAGCATTCCAGTTTAATGGTAAACAAATTGAAAACAAAGCATGAACTCTAAGCTTACTAAGAATTATATTGAATGAAAAACCTATGGTGATTTCCATTATTATTATTATTATTATCCCACGGGCTGCATTGGGATCCAACTGTATGTACTGAGGTTCCAACTGCATTGACAGGTTTAGTGGGCTCAAGTCTGAACTCAGGTTTTACTAGTGTAGCTTTATCTTAACTCATTTGTCAACTAAAAGGATAAAAGTAACTAATAAATAACTGAACATTAAAATACAAATATATGTAGCATATAACAATGCCATGGTTACATCTGGTAATACAGAGATAGAAATAAATTTACATAACTGTTGAGTCACACAGGTTAAAATATTCTGGTGAAATGTCACACCCAACGTCTGTATTCTGCACATTTATATGAATTTACGTATACCTAAGCCAGTACAACTGAGAATAATAGTGATTATATTGAATGACAGTGTCACACCAGAGTGCTTGAGATAATGCACTAAATCCCGAGCATTGCTAAATCTAGCCATGGCTATTCATGACACCCACCAAAAACCAAATTATAACTCCATCGCAGAACACGGACTGTTTTGTTAATTAGGTTGCGAAGCGACACACTAAAATAAACCATTGAGCGTACATCTACATAGCATGCGTTAAATCGCGCCATACGCACGACTACAAATCAGATGCAAAGAATGTTCAGAAGAAACAGTGCTCGACCAGACTTGGCAGATTATCTATATCTTTAAGAGTTTTGCAGATAATGCCAAAAACATACAATATAGTTCTTTTGGGTGCCGGGGGAGTTGGAAAGACGTCCCTTTTAGACCAATTTATCAGCGGGTGCTTTCGAGCCACACACAAACCTACCGTTGAAGACTGCCATAGACATATGCTGAAAATGCCAGGTAAGATTTTATTTGAATTTTCAAATTTAACTCCTATGTATATCACGGATCAATGGACACCGCTATGCGTTTCGGCCTCCACATATGCATGATACGTGAAAACTGACTTTCTTATTAGTGTTTTGAAGGAAAAACCAACAGACAAGAATATGATTAAGCATAACTTTGTGTCGTTGTGTTTCAATAATCGGACGAGTTAATTTATTTAAATTTATCTCTCTGTCAAATATTTTCGAAAGATGTGCATGTACAATTTTCTTGCAATTGCAAACGAATATCCTTATAACAGTGATATACCTGTTTGAAACACTAATGACTAAAAAGATTCCCAGAAAGCAAACTAATGTTGGCGGATTACTTCGACCCACATACGATATGTATGATATTTTACCAACACTTATATTCTCTGAATTGCAGACGGGTTATATCACACAGTAGAGATTCTGGATACGGCTGGAACACATCAGTTCCCAGCTATGAGGGAACTGGCCATACGCCTAGGCCAGGCATTCATCATTGTATATTCCATAGACAACCGTGAATCTTTTCTTATTGCAAAGGAACTGATGGACAGTGTGCATGAAATAAAGGGTGAGAATATTTAGAAACTACTCGTTAGAGAAAAATTTGCAGTAATGATTAATGATAATAATCGGTTCAATGTTTATGTAAGCTGTTTATATTGTCGGCAGTGGTGATTTATGGTGCCAAACCAATGGCTGCAAAGCAGGGTCTGTCCCGTTTTGTATAACGCCGTTTGAGTGCCTAGTTACTGGCAAAGGCGTGTTAGAATATTGTTACATTTCACCAAATAAACAAAGGTTTATTCTGACTACTGTTAAAATACACAGATGTCTCTTTTTCAAAATTTACAACACGGCATGTGAAAAAGTAGCAGTATTCAACACAAAACTTCGTCTTTATGCAACAAAACTCTTTAGGATCGAATGCTTCACACAAAAAAAGGCCATTTTGGCTTGTTCGCCACTTTTTCCAATATACCAGAACAATTCTGAATAACATTCACATCACGTTTATCGTCAAGAGATTTAAGAGAGCCTCATTAACCTTAAACAAGTCAGTTATAGCATATAATGACGCACGAATTACCTCTTTATCGAATCTGGTATTGTTTTCGAGAAAAAAGAAAACAGCCGAACATTAGTTCGCAAATGAAGCCTCCGGAGAGAATACCCAATTATAGAGTCGAATGAAGTGCGTGGGGAATAATAAAACAAAGTTGAGGGATTTACTAGACTCCTACAGCGGTCTTCCAATACAGCATTTTCGGGAAAAGGTTGGGAAATTTAAAAAGAAAAAAATAATAATAATAAAGTGTGTAAAGGGCATTGCATGGCAATCTTAAATAACATGGCCTGATGTGCTTTTAAAAATATTGGTTACTGATAAATATTGCTGCCACAGAACCGGTAGAATATCACTGGAGGAAATGATCTTGGGATAAAACGCGTAGGTGAGACCGATAATTATAAAGGCGTTTGGTATCTAGGATACAGTTATAAACAAGTATCTTCATGACGGTTGTCCTTACGTTTACACTTTGCCCTGAAAAGACCTGATTGCGCCTTTTTTCTAATTCAACACAATATGTAATTAAATTAAATCATATAAATGCATCCAATCATTAGACCTTAAATAAGTTTTAACTAATAAGTATTAGAACTCATGTAAATATCCAATATAGAAAAAATATGGTAAAAGCAGAATGTTTTATTCTGTTGGCTATTTAAGCTCCAACATTTCTCTGTGGCATTTCAGGTTTCATGTCACAACTCGTTACATCAGAATGGTCTGGGTATAGACCCCGAATTTGCGGCTTGTTTTTTAACTGGCCAGACGAAGAAATAGCCCCTTTTTAACAGAATCGTCTAAGTCGTTTAATAAACGTGCTCTATACATAATTAGTTTTCTACTCCATTTGTCATTCTACGTTCTGTTAAATGAATTCTTACATTCTAGGAGGCTCCATTGCACCACTTATAATGCTAATCGGAAACAAAAGTGACACCGCTTCTGATGGGCTCAGACAAGTAGAGACTGAAGAGGCCGAAAAAGCTACTCTGGGCAAGAACAATTGTTGCTTCATGGAAACAAGCGCAAAAAAAGGTCGAGATGTGGATACCATGTTTACATCTTTGTTATCGAAGGTCCTTGGTGTTGAAAATTCCACGAACAATTTCAGCAAGAAAAAGTCCCGTTTTATGAAACGAAAACATCATTCCGTGAATGACATGCAACCCTCAACTCGCCAGCACGGCTCTGTGAACAGGAGCCAGTCGTGGCGAGATGGAACTGTAAGGAATATGTCTGATATCGACTCACCGAAATGTACTCTGCTTTAAAGGTCTAAAAAGACCGATTAATATGAAGATTTCACACGTCAGAGAATGTGTGGCACCTAAACAAGCTCGTGATTTTAACTCAAAACATTGCTTGAGTTCTGAAGATTTGAAACTTGTGAGCAAAAATTCATGTTAAAAGCTACGGCAGTAAACGATCTGGGTTTCGTTGTGAAAGCAAACTAAATATGGGGAGATCAAATGCTAAGGTATTACTTAGCAAACCTTAATCAGTGATAATGGACAGAGAGGAAACTAGCTTGTTAGTTACACATTTGACACCAGCAGGTGTTTTTATCACAGCCGGGGGTTTTCGAAGTCGAAGAAACACCTACACTCAACATTCCCAATGATTGGGCTCTGATATTTATTGCTTCACAAAATAAAAAGTGCCTTTACTATACCCTCTACCAGGGCGACAGATTGATTTTCCACAGATATTCAAAGATATGTCTATAGATAAATATACAGTCATTTTGGCTCTCAGTCGATTCAGCAAAAAATGTCCACAATAATAACTGCGGCCCTGGTAGAGGGTACCTTTACTACACGAACCACACTTTGATTCTAATCACATTTGATCAAAGGGCGCATGAGAGCATAAAAGTGCTTATTCTCTTTGTCCTGTTTGTAAGACGTTTAAATATTGATGACGTACAATTAAGGTATAAGAAAACCAAAGATGCCAGTCAGGTATCTAACTGAGGGACCGTTCAGAAAGAATTATGACGTCATAGCTAATGTGAAGTAACTCCACGGGAACTCTGGCTAAATGCAATCAGATTACCAGCCTAATCATTCTCTTGTGTGCTTGCATTCAGCGAGAGTCACATTGGAGTTAGTGCGCATTAGCCAAGTCAACATAACGCATTCTGTAAGGTCCCTTCAATACCCTGAATATCATTAGTATAACACAAATACTCTGTAAAAATAAACGATTCTGCGGCCTTCCTTCGGACTGCACACTGTAACATTTTAAACAGAGGATGGCTTTCATATGAAAATACATTTCTGTTAGAGCGTCTTACACATAAGCACTGTCGCTTGTTTGATTGAGAGGCCAGGTACACTCTTGTCAAAATTAATGGAGTATTTCCAAAACGAGAAATATAATTCGATGGCTTTCTGAGCTGTCACATTTGCATATAGGTGAGAGTTTAAAATTGGTCATTTCCCAAATAATCTGCCGTGCACCTATCGTTGCACCAACTAAGAGCTTTGCTGTGATAAAACCAAAACCCAAACAAAGTGACGGAAGTTTTAAATGCATTTGCCCTGTCATAGCAACGTGGCTTTCCGCCAGGAAGGGATGCAGCGTCCGTTCTGTCACACACGTCTACCATATGTCGGTATAGTCGGGTGTCACAACCGCTTCTATTAATTCCAAACGCCGCTCCCTAAAATTGAATGGAAGATGACAGTCATAAAATATTTTCATGATTAAGAGAATGTGTTTTAAATATTGCATGCCACTAACATACACGTTATGCACTTCCATGATGAACTTAAAAAAATGGCGAGGGAGTGGTGTTGAGTCAACCTGTCCGGGAATGTTTATCAAAACGCCGTGCACTCTCTTCCAAGTTGCAATAATAATTCTTAGAAACACCCTTCTGTTGATCTCGGTGTCTTTTTAACCTTTTATATAAGGAAGACACACAGTGCCCTTAAATACTATAAATTGATGGATAAGGGTGGGGGAGGTGCAAGTAACCGTTCGATTTAATCATTCATTATTGTACGAAACGTTTGACTCATCGCTATTCAAATATTACCGGTACGTGTTTGCCTGTGTAATCAAGGATAAAGACTGAAAACCATAAATATTTAATGCAGTATGTGTTCATCAAACGCTTATTATCCGGTAATTAAAGTACTTGTTGACATTGCGTAATACAAAGCCTGTCCCTATTACAAAAATTCAACTTCTTGTTATATATATATATATATAGTTTACTCAGTTTTCATGCACAAGTACATGTACCGTACTACTGGTACTGCTGGTACGTCACTTACACAGTTATAACACATGTCGTGTTGATTACAGACTGACTCGAATATTGCCACATATTCTCTGTTATTTTCAAATCCTTGAAGGAACGAAGGGACACTGCAACCGTTGATGTTATTCTGGCATTCGTTAGACATGACGAAAGCTGGTGCCACCAGTAAGACTAGAATCATCCTTGTTGACGTCATTTCAGCTACCGATTCAGATAATCTAAAGCAAAACAAAATGTTCATCAAGCTTTCTCAACTCTAGTTCAAGGGATACGGTTAATGAAAAATTACCATTGGTGAAGCAGCGAGAGAGAGACGGAGAGAGAAAGAGAGAGAGCAAAATACTTAAAAACAAGCTAACAGTTCTTAAGTGTTACCTCAACAGGCCTATATCGGACGATGGTCTCAGCCGCTCTGTTTCGTAAGTTACTGATATCCTAATTCAGTCTTCTGTGCTTTAAATGCATAAGTCAAAGATAAATAGGGTGTCCCAAAAGGTAATGCACCACATTCAATATATTAAGTTATTAACCCATCTGGTCGGCCCATCAATACCTATTATTTCTTCACCCTGACCAGTTTGCGTCAATGTGTTTTTTAGCTGATCTTTGATTACCATTTTCCCCTACATTTATTCGCTGACATTGTTATTATGTTGAATTTGGGCACTATACGCTTTCTCAGAACTATAATGGCGACTGTTTTATTCACACAAATCATTTTACTTATAATCATTCTTCAAAACTGCGAACCAGACAAGTGTAGTAAAAACAAATAAACTTTTTCACGTGGATGAAAAGAAATGGAGTTCCATGTCACTGTGACTTTGTGGTGAACATAACACAGCAAGATTCACATAATCCATCCAATGGACAGATATAGTTCACGAAATATTAGATGTGGTATGGGTACAAAAACGAATTATAAAGAAACTCACACTTGTGGGATTTAACCAAAGGTTTTATAATTTTTGGACAACTTGTACAATAGCACATACATATGTACATAAGATACGGAGGAAACACGTGAAGGGAGGGATGGAAGTAAAGACCAGGGGACTCTGTTTTGGGTCCCATATACCATCTCATATTGCAGTTGTTATTTGAATGATGGTTAGTTAGCTTATTAGTTAATCAGGCAAAATATTTGCATTCACCTGACAACGCTCACGTGCACATGGTGCATATATATATGTACTTTCCACTGATCTCCCCCCTCAAATAATAAGGCAGACGTTATGAAACTTAAGTCCAATGTTCTCACGTGATTTGACGTGAGAGAGATAACTCGAAGATAAGTAGACAATTGAGTAACATTTTATAATAAACAAACACTGTTTAGAACACTTATTTCTCGGGTGTTAAATGTATTACCCAGCAAATGTTTTAACTGGCGCAATAACTCGGGAGTAGCTGATCTTTCTTTTCTATTTCTTCTATTTAAAATGGACGAAAACTGGAAAAAATGGCTGATCGATTAATTCAGCCGTTTTTTCCGCTGTTAGACGAAGGTTCTGCGCATCATGACGTGTATGCTTGCATGTACTTTATTAACGAGTACGTTGGAAACAAGAGGAGGCCTGTTAATCTGTTAAACTGATTGCATTCAGCGAGAGTCCCAGCGAAGTTGGATCGATCTACGTAGAACGATAGCTTCATTGAGATTGAGCGCTAATACATTTCTCATATTTCCTATTCGCACGCGTAAAAACACGTTGTCTCAAATGGTCCAATGGATAGGAACAGCTTGTAAAAAACCTTTAATCGTCTAAGATTCAAACCTTAGCAAGAATGCGACTGGGTTAAAAAAGGGATATATACAGTGTACTAATATGTACTTAACTGGAGTGCGACAGGTGAGAAAAAGGGAAATGCAGCAAACAACCCAACTTTCCTTCGTTGTGTTCATACTCGTGAGTCGATCGAGATGGGTGCATACACTGTCACTGTACATGTACTTTATACATGTGACTGTGTGAACTGGGTTAAAGTATTCATGCCCCAAATATATTACTGATTAGAAGACGATCAGATCGGCTGAAACCAGCTCGTGTCAGTTCACGCTTTATCTTCAACATTTTATCTTAACGTTGATATTTGCAAGCAGTTATTAAAACATGTCGCCATGGGTCTCCTCCGACTCTTGTTGCTATCATCAAAGGTCATTTTCCTCCCTTTCTTCTTCTCCTCTGTTGGATTTTTTTACAAAAGGACCCACGGATATATTTCACACTCACGTGACTGTGCTACATGCAGTACATGTACGTGTTCTCTCATTTTCTTTTAATACTGCCTTTTTATACAAGATCTAAAAGTAATTATGGCATTTTTAAGTCTCAAGCTTTCATTATAACATTTATCTGGTGCTCATCAAGAAAATCATACTCATAAAAAAAACATGCTCCACGGCATATTTAATTTTCGCAGAGACTACATTAAAAAGAAAAGCAATGGATAGGAGAAATAAAACGCAAATTTATTATTGTTAATCGCATCGAGGTTCTGCAAAACTACATTGTACCCTCCACCAACTTACAAAAATGGGATCTAAAATGGATATGTAGTCAACAAAAGATTATATATGTAAATAATACTGTTGCAAGCAATACGCTTCTATATATAAGAGTAATGGCGCAAGTATAGCTACATGTACAAGCGTTTTATCCTTAGGCATTTGACAAACAACATCGCTCCAAAATTATCTGCCATAAAGAACGTATGGCAAAGATGAGTCATCTCTTTGGTCTTCGCCTCACATCCAGGGATGTCGTTCTCGGTCAAAAACTTTCAATTCAAATATTTCCTTGGTTCTCCTCACAGTTCTTGATAAATGCCCTCTTTTTGTCCCCCTTCTTCAAGTACAGTAGACTTAAGCTTTTTAAAACGTGACATATACATACATAGAATGAAACGAGGAAAATTGGCAGTACCAACAGGTATAGTTTGAATGTATAACTCACATAAAAATAAATAAACAAACACCTGAATTTCTTTATACTGTATTGCTGCAAGAAATGCAAACCTGACCTACAAAAATACTTGATAATTTGGGCAATTAACATTTACAAAAATATATTCTAAAACTATATATATTCCAAACAAATTGCCTGAAATCTTCATTCAGTTTTACACCAATGTCTGCCTGCAAGTCAATCTTTCTAATTTTATGTTAGATGTATTGGATCTTGTAAATTTTGAAATAAAATTTAAAAACTATTTTTAAAAACATTCAATTTACAAAAACAAAAAGGTTCTTTACTGAAGCCGAATGCCAGCCAATAATATGTTGTATCTGGTGTGTAGGTTAAAAAATTCAATAAAATATCGAAGGGTAATAAAACAGAATTATTGTCTTTAACTTATTTAACTGCTAGAACCTTACATCTGATCTTTTCTGAAAATTAAAACAAAAACTGTTCCCTCAAAAGAAACTAAAATCCAATAACCAGATGGTTTAACACAATTACTAACAGTCAAAACCTCCATCTTATATCGGCTAAAAAGTTGGTTTCGCTGTAATTAGATTTGTAATTATTATAAAAATGTAGTTCAAATCATTTACATAATATAGTTACTAGTGGCACATTAAATTTAATTAGTACTAGAAGTTATATCTTTTCATTTTCTGTTGGCTAATAGCTGCAAAGCTAATGTTTAATTTTCAAATGTTCTTTATTGTGCTGCTTTATATTTTAAAAGATCTTCTGGGCTGTTGATTGGATGCCCTCAGGGTTCAATATTAAGGTCTCTTTTGAGGACCCGGACACGAGAGCGGACTTCATCCCAATCGAAATATGCTCCTTCTAGATGGCGTTCTCCTTTAACATTCTCATAGCCAGTTCTGCCGTGTAAAACCCGCTTATTGGCAAAGCAGACAATGTCACCTGCGAAAATGTAAAAAATTCTGACACTATTACGACTCTTCAAGAAATTGGAAAGAAAAAGTATGGAAAGATAACACATATTGCAGTTTTTGTCATCCTTAGTTATGGTCAAAATACTTGACAGAAAAGTAACCTAAATGCAAATAAAATATAGATGATTCATTATACAAATTAAAATATGTGATGCATTAACCAGGTTACAACACAACCAATATATTGGTGGATTAACTGATGACTATTAATATACCTGTAGACCAGTATAAAAATGTGTTCACTTACAGCAAAAATGTAAAAATTCTTAGTAGTGTCAGACAACATCTTGGTTGGAGAGATTTTAAGATTTACTTAACTTATCAACTTTTAATTATTACCTTCCTCCATTTTTACTTCAACAATGTTCTTTGGGTCGTACATAAGTTTGTGAAACTCTTTCAGTGCTTTATAAAAACCATACACTTCTTCCGCAGGGATGTTGAGTTGGTAGGCACGCACTTGATCATTGTAGAAAATGCTCTCAGGTTCTCCATCTCTGCCAAGACTGAATTTGAAATTAGGCATTACTTAAAATATTTAAAGAATCATTAATCAATGATAAAATGAGTCTTATTATAGTGATGCAATTTTTTTTTATTATTTTTTTTTAATATCCGAAAGGAAACAAAGCAAAAGAATAATAATGCCATCATTTCTTTTATAATCAAGGTCCTTTTTTATCCCAAACACTGAAAACTTCACAACTTACGCTATCACTGGCCATCTATAAGCAAAGTTGAACTTGTAAGCCTCTTCTCCAACATCGTAAAAGTCCACTAAGGTCGTTGTAAGCGTTTTGTAGGCCTCTGGATTAAGGTCCCTCAATTGCTTGGCAACGTAAGGTCCATCTACAAATTCATTGCTTCCACCCATCCCATCAGCTTGCTTGATGCAGTGCAGCAGTTGAATCTACATATAATATATGCACTTTTAAAATGACTGAGGAAGACTTGTACATGCTTCAGGTTGCTGGCATCTATCAGGTTATACATAGGAACCAACAGAAATGACAATACCACTTGTACATAGATCAGTGCTTTAAATAACATTGTATCAATCGGCATTTTAATTTAAAATTTAATAAAATATGCACTAAAGGTACATCTTACTATTTTTTCAAGCTTTCTGGTTTTACTTGCTTTTCAGAGAGTCCTTTTTTTTTTTTTTTTTTGTTTACTGTTTAATCTATTCCATAGAATATTCACTGTTGCCCAGAACAAAAGTGCTGACCCATATCTTAAATGTCAAATATGTACAAATGTATGTGACATATATGAGTAAACACTAATTAAACTGTATAACTGCGAATGTAAGCTTTTTCAAAGCCACAGTTTTGCAGGCAACATTCACATGTACCCTCTACCATACACATCATGTTAAAATGATATACCCTTCCATAATATACAATGTTATTTTCAGATTTACGTACTGATCAAGTAAAGAAACTAATCTGGGTCCCAAATGATCTGCCACAAAATGCAAAGGCATGGGAATAACAAATTTGTTTTACAACATTAAACCAGTACTATAAACTTGCATAAAACATTCAACTGCATTAACTGAAAACCTGATATGAAATTTGTGATCAAGCATGGAGGCAAGATATAATTTTGCAATAATTCATCTCTGGAATGAAAGAAATACAACTTGAATCAGAACATTGGGTTTGGATCTAGGAACCAAGAAACATTGTTTGGAGGTTCCTAGGTGGACACAAGTTTTGAAAGTGTGGAAGAGACCATGCAATCACATTATCAAAGACCACTAACATAGCATTCAATTTCAATAAAGCATTGTCTTTTCTTGAAGAATTTATCTAATAATACATCACTTTAATCACTTATACCTCTCCGAATTTATCTGATAATACATGACTTATACCTCTGGCGAATATTCATAGAAGGGCAGATCCATATGCAGACCAAGCCTTCGCCGGGTATAAGCTAGGTTATTGGCATTGTTCCTGCTGATTACAGTAAACACCGTCCTGTAACAAATCACAACATAATCTGGTTTCAAGCTAGGATAAGCACAACCAAGGTAACTTTTGACCAGATTTCTGTTGACAAATGCAGTGGCAGATGCAGACTCCACGCTGTGTATTAATATGCTACTTGAATACCAACCAGCTGTCATGAAACATGTCTCTCAAAAAATCTTTATTTTATGTCAAGAAGTAAAAGGGGTTATAAGAATCATTAAGCTATTGACTGTTACTAACTGGGGCAGAGGAGGGGATTTGTCTACCACTGCATATGCCTTAATAAATCACACTACCAGTAGTTTTTATCCCAAACAAGGCAGCATAGCTGTCACATGGACAGACATATACATGACAAAACTGTCAGAAACAATAAAACAGTTCAATAACAATGAAAGTGGACAAAATATGTTTATATATTTACTTATTCATTTTGTATTTTTCCGATGTAACATTGCATTATGATTAACAGTATAATCCCCACAAAATTGTGATTATGTAGTGCTGTTACTGTGTACATTTGGAAATGTAACTAGCACAGGGCTTCAGATGTATGGGAAGACTAATTCACACAATGAGCATGCCTTTTGGGATAAAATGAAGAACTCACAAAAAATTACTTCAAGAAAAAATAATCCAATTTGGTTATTTTAGTATTATGAATTATTCCTGTAAGTTTAGGACTGATAAATAAGTTGTTTTTCCCTTTAAGGTGCTTACAAGGAAAGTTCACAGTGATGGCGATGGCAGATGCAGCAAATGAAACCTACATGTCCAAACAGTGTCTGGCCATATAATCTAGATACAAAAAAAATCTTGAATGCAAGCATGATTAGTATCTACAGAATGACTATGCAATTTAGTAACTGCTAAAATTTCCTTTAGAATAGTGGTCATTTAGCATTCTGTTAGCAGAAGCAGGCTGACAGCCTTCAACAAAGCGTGCACTACACAGACCTCTCACCTCTGGTGTGTGATGATAAAATGGCAGGTCATTGTGAAGTCCAAGACGTTTGGCAGTGAATGCCAAGTTATTAGGAGCAACCTTGTTCTGTACCGTAAATACCAACCTTGAGAGTAATGAAATAACCCAGTTAGTAAGCATAACACACATGCTACAATAGAGTTGTGTCAGTATAGGCATGTAGCTTAAGCCAATTTGTTTATGAAAAGATATTGCATGCGTATTTCATTTTATAAGCTAAAGAGATAACACGTTCACTTCTCAAGATGCAAGTATACAGAAATTCTCTCTCTATCCCCATTCTACATCTCATTCACAGAAATGAAAGGAATTGCACATAAATATAAAGTTCAAGTATTTAAAAAAAGAGAAATGAAAGGTATAAAAAATATTTCAAGCAAGAAATTAAAAAAATTAGATCATTTCACTGCAATTGTGATTCATTGTTTTACAGCTTTTTCTAGTTCCTTAAAAATAAGGTAAAATAAAAATAAATATTTTAGCATTTAGTGTGGAAAACAGTTTCAGCCAGAATTCAGTAAAAGAAGCATTAGATTTACTCGTAGTTGGTAGGCCTTAAGTACGCAATCCTTTTGCCAAGTTTCTCCAGCTGGCCTGTCATAGTAGGGGTATTCTTCAGCATTACTAATCCCATCACATCCAGGGTATGCAGGAAGTCATGCAGACTGCGATCTTCAGACATCACCTGAAAAGTAGGAAAAGTGAAAAAATATCCATGTGATATACAGTTTATGAATACATAAACAAATATATATATATATATATATATATATAGATATAGATATAGATATAGATATACTGCATATCAGATGGATATTTTTTCATATCTTTTGCTGTATACTCCCAGACAATCACACATGAAAACTATTTATATTTAATAATTAATGTGATGTTGTTAACTTATACATTGTATTGACTTTTATAACTGATGAATAAGTAATAACTAATATATGACTTTTTAACAGACCAACATACTGTACCAATATACTGTTCTGGTATTGTTTCATCATACTAGAGAACAAAAAAAAATTTTTTATTATGTTTTTGGAAAGTATGTATATGGACCTTTTAATCAACTATCATATTATATGTCCTGTAGTACTAGTATATGGGTAGTGTGTATACATAATAAGGAATAACTTGACCTGATTTGCAAGCAAAAAGAGACCAGGTGTCGAGAAATAATGTGCAAACCTGGGAATGAATTTGAATTCTGCCAATATTTTATGGTACAGCCACTGACAACTCATTAAATGAAGACAAAACAGTACATTTAATTGGTCTGTTAAAAAGTCATAAAAAACACTGTATCTGCTAAAATGAAATTGTCACAGCATTTAAAAGGGTGGAATCACCAGTCTGAAACACCTTGTTTTCTCCACTGCTCCACTATTATAGTGTATTAACCAAATTACCCAAGCATCTCGCTTTCTACTATATAGTCCAGCCTATCTAAAACACAAGTGACTCACACACCCTTATCCCCCTTACTGGATAATTTGTGGGTTCTTTCCTAAATTTAATCACAAGTATAATGTTTCTCATAAAGAAAAGGCCTGACTGCAGAGGCCATAGGTTTTATTTCTCCTGAGTGATGAACACATGAATAAGCTTACTTCACCAAAGGCAAACTGTGGTATCTTTCCTTGCATTTCATTTGCACCCCAGTGTTTCCACTCAGGGCGGTACAGGCGTAGACGCCGGTGCTGCTGCTCTGAACTGAAACTCCTGTACAGTAACCAGTCTGCCTTGAAGGAACTGTTGTGACCATCCTCCCAGGTGACAGTAACTGTATAATCATCATCAGCCTTTATAAAATAAACTGCACAGGATTAGAATTTTAAAGAAAAGCAATGACCATGCATAATTGTCAGCATTCTAAAACTTGTAAAAGCATCATATTAACAGGCAAAAATGTATCACTGATGGGATTTAAAATATTATTTGCTAAGAGCTCGAGGCACATACGACTAAAGGCCAAAAAAATACACGTGTATACATGTGTATTGTATGCATGTGTAAACTAAGTATCAAAGTAAGGCAATCAGACTTCAACAGTGCAACGCAGTATGTCCCGGAAAATTTAACCTGCTACTACCTGTAGTAGGTGAAATTTTCATTCCTGTGACCAGTAAGGATATACACGATGTACAGGTATATTTGTGCGTGCATTACAACAACATCACTTAAATCATATTACCACAATGTAGCAGTGACTGATTATGTGTTACATGTAAGAGCAGGCCTGTAGCCAGCAATTTCAAAGGGGGGTTCTTTTTCTAAAAAAGTGGACCTAGGCTTTTACCATATAATCCCCATGCACCTAGGTCAAATTTTACCCAGGGTGGACCTTTTTCCAGCAAAAAGGGGGGTTCTTTTGAACCCCCCGAGCCCCCCTGGCTACGGGCCTGAAGAGGGTGGTTATAATACTGGGAAAATATTCTAGGAATTTCCCACTGTTGGTTGATCCATAGCCACTAACAATTAAATATTCTGGGTACTGTGTACTGTACTAGTATATGCATTACATAATGTGTATCATACCATATTTATCCAATCTTGTTAATTCCTCTCCACTCCCTATTAGTGTCAAAGTCTCTACTGTTGTACATTGTACCGGTACCTTAACATTTCCATTGTGCTTGGACTTAAGACTACAGGACTTAATGCATCACAATGCAGTAACAATTATACATGTATACAGTGAATATGTTAATTAAATTTTTAGTTATGCACTGTATAATAATAATAATAATTTATTAAGCCAATAAAATACAAATGTATAAAATCGGGAATCTTTTGCCCTGTAGTAGCGCCATTGAAATATAAAAAATTTAAATTAAAATTACATGTTAGAGTTAAAAATAGTTACTGCCGAAGGATAAAAGCTATTTAAAAATCGCTTACTACCCTTAAAAGCTAAGAGTCTCGAATTGCTAGGTAAAAATTTAAAAAGGGTATGGGCTGGATGGGAACTGTCTGTCATTATTGATAATGTTTTCTTTTTAGTCCTGTCTAGATATATAGTATGGACGGGAGTTAGATCTGTTCCAATTACAATCCCTGCAGTTTCGACGATCTTTTCCAACTTGTTCCTCTCCTCCACAGTTGCACGTCCATACCAAACAGTTACTGAATAAGTTAAAATACTCTCTAAAACACACCTGTAAAAGTTCGTTTAAATAAACACATTCCTGGTAAAAGCTTTCAATTTCCTTAAGAAACACATTCATTTGCGGCTTATCTTGCGTAACCTTTCCGGTAAAATGCAATACTTCCGGAAAGATGGACGTTTTGGCAGATGCCCCTAACAATCCGACGATATCAAAGGTTTCCATTTGCTGTATTTTAATCAATTCGACCAAACTGGCATTTCCATGAAATTAATTAATTAATCTTGGTCGAATTGTTTGGCATATTACCGTATACCTGATAGCAAAACGATCATAACTTGAAAATTGATAGAGATAAATTGCTGAAATTTCCTGGATTGAAAGTTACTATAGTTGACATCATCCCTGTGAATTTTCAGGCAAATGTATGTAAAAATAAAAAAATGATGTGCATAAGATAAATCAGCTTTGTTTTATTTTACCCATTACCAAATGAAAATGTATTTTTTAACCGGCTATAACTTTTGATACTGCATGTTAAATTTAAATGTAATTCTATTTTCATTTAGCTTGAAATATTGGCTTTTTAAAAATGTATACTTTGTATGGGTAATAAAGGCAAACAAATAAATTATGACCAATTTACTGAGGTGACCCGGCTTTTCAAGGCTAGCTCACAGAATTAATTGGGCACAGCAGAGCTTTATGGGTCAGCATTAACTGGATCCTATGGGGTTAATGTCTCATTTCATTGACATAGATGGTAAAAAAGTGTGGACAGGGGATTTTATTGTTAAAGACATTTTATCTTTGGATTTTGTCTGGTGACAAGAATGGTGTATAGTTACACTAATAATCCAGTCATTTGATAGTAGGAATTGAAAGGTTAATTATATTTTCTCATTTTGAAAAATAAAATGATTGATTGAGACTTAATTGTAAAATATTTTAGATGTACGAATTTCAGTTCCTATGAATTTTCCAGGGAAAAGAGATTTAAGCCGTGGTCTACGGAATGTGGTGTTGGTGGATGGAGTAAGGACCCCTTTCCTTAAGTCTGGCACAGACTACAAAAATATGATGCCTCATGATTTGCAGAGAAAAGCTATACAGTAAGTGAATTTAGGGCTAATTTTCTCTGCTAATGATAAAACTGTTTTCTACAGTATTGTGTGTTTATTTTTGTCTTTTTGGTAGAAATAGAAAACCCAAAAGTGCTACTCAAATTTTGTGAAATTTTCAGGATGGACAGTTATTAAGAAGGAAAAGAGGTATTTTTGTTTAGCTCTAAGTGTTTGTTTCCTAATCAATTCTCCATGAGTAATATTTTATGTAATATATGTACTTCAGTTGAATTTTGTTCATCAAGCCATTACAAATATGTACATTTTGGTCACTATACCTAATATTATAGCAGATAAGAACTGTAGTTAAAAGTCGAAGAAACTTTCTTCCTTGTGAAAAAAAAAAAAAGTGAATACAGGAATAGTTTGTTTGACTGCTTTAACAACAATAAAATTGTTTGAATTTTATCATTTTATAAGTTTTAAGTTACTATGAGCAATAGATCCAATGCTTGGTAGCTTCTTCATTTCCAAGTCTTAATTTGCACTGGACTTCATCAGCACGTTTGATTGAAGCTAACTGTGCAAACTAAAACGTGTTTGGTTGTCCAGGTTGTTCTGTAGAAGACCATATGGACAAAATAAATAGACCTGTGATTGGTGTGGTATACTTTTAAATTGATGCCACTAAAGTTGAGTGGACACAAGCATACATGAAATTTGGAAATGAAGAAGCTGGGTCATGACGGTTATGGAACACAGGCTGCATTAACCAAGCTCATTTTTAATTTACCTGTATCTTTTCCAGGTCTCTCCTAGAACATACACAAATACCCAAAGGTAGGTGTCATTTAATATAAACTTTTTCCAGATGTGAAACCATAGTCATGGCATCCTGTTCCCATATGACCTATTGATTTGGGACATTTCCAGACTTGGTTCACCATTTATGGTTGTTTTTAACAGTTATGTAGTTGAGTCTTAAAGAACTAGGCATTTAAGCTGGAACTTTATCATGCAAAAGCATGAGCTGTGCTTTTTTGTGCTAAAATATGTGAGAAGTGTGGATATTTGATTTTTTTATATGAATAGAATATATTTTTCTTTTATATATATATATATATATTTTTTTTTTATTTTATTATTATTTTAATTTGTAATGCATCTTATTTTCAAATTTCTGTTAAAATTACCATGTCTTATTATCTTTCTTGCAGAGGAAATAAATAATGTAATTGTTGGAACTGTGATTCAGGAAGTGAAGACAAGCAATATTGCCAGGGAGGTATGATAACATGCTTCCACATATGATAAACCATAAATATCTGTTTCTTTTTAAATTGTTTCTCTTCATGAATGGTAATTTTAGATAATAATGAGCTGTGGTAGGATAGGTATAAGGTGCCAAAAGGTTTGATTTATGTAATAGAATCTGATGTAGAACTGGTTCAATTTGTTAGAGGAAATTTATAGTAAAATGTGAAAAAAATAATGAACTTTTTTTATCATCAGGCTGCCCTTGGCGCTGGGATTCCACAAAGTGCCCCTGCTCACACTGTGACACAGGCTTGTATCTCTTCAAACCAAGCCATCACATCTGGTGTGTTGAACTTTTTTTGATAATGATGAAAGATAAAGTTGATATAAATTAGGCTGCATTCACAGCAGTGGACAAACTAGCCAGAGGGTCAAATATGACCAACCCACTTGAATACTTAACCATGGGGAATCTATTCAGTGTCTATTTTATTAGTGGATTACACAGCAAGCTTTTTAGTGGGTTGCCACATTTGACCCACAAACTAGTTAGTCCACTGTTTTGAATTCGGCCTTAGTTAGAGCTGATTCCTCAGTACTAGCCTGTAACAAGGCACAAGCTAAATATTTCTGATAATACTAAGTGTACAGGATTTAAATGGTACTACAATTTGTCAGTATAGCATCACGTTAGTCACATGCTTCTTATTTTGAAACAAAAAAAGTTTGAAATATCATTTTATCAGCTCTGTACACTTGTAACTAAAGAAGTTCAAAGCTTTTAACGCAGAATACAGAAACTTGGTATTGCTAACAATAATTCTTTCCATTCTTTTTCCCTCAAAAACATAAAGTAATTATGATTTATGTCTTTTCAGCTTGGAACTACATAACTACTGGACACTCAGATTGTGTGGTTGCTGGAGGAGTGGACTTCATGTCTGATGCCCCCATCCGTTTCAGCCGTAAAGGCAGGGAAATTTTGATCCAGATGAGCAGGGCCAAGTCTAAGGGTGAACTGATAGGTCTAGCTTTGCAAATGATGAGTCTAAAAGCACTTACACCAGATGTAAGTAATTTTATTTCACATTAAAACTGGTTATGCTTCTTTTAGGAGATCTTTTTAAAAGTATATCCTCCAAATAACTGCAAGGATTCATATGAGGATTATTAATTTTAGAAGATGTTAAGTTATTAACTGTATCTGTAAACAACAAAGAATGCATATATAAAAGTTGACACACAGCAATTAGGAACTACAGAGTTTTCAGCAAGACCCTGTTTTATGGTAATGAACTATTTTTTTATGACCATAATATAATTCAGGATACACTTTCCTTCCCCTGCTGTTCCGTTTGTAATTTTTGTAATCTTGTCTTCTAGGCTCCATCTGTAGCAGAATT